TGTCGCCGATCTTATGCAAGTATCGGCCAACCACGAGATGAATTGCATCCATCCTACAGGGTCTGAGTTAACGTTTCTTGCAGTTTGGAGAATCGGTCGTTTGGTGAATCGACGCGTTTGGAGAATCGATCACAGCTGACTGCATCGACGGCACCTGGAGTTAAGAACAAATTTTCGTCTCAATGGGCTCTCGCAATGGAATTTTTGGCAATAACGGCTTCGCAGAGTCCTTCATCCCTCTTGGAATGGTGAGATAACCGAATTTTTCCTTTCGTCAATTTTCTATGTTACATTTGATATAATCTTACCTACACCACAACTATCATAATAAACAACCTGATAAATTACTTTTATTTTTTATTTTCAGATGCAAGAAGCCGAAAATCCAGCATATTACACGGACGATTACGCAGTCTTGCTTCCCGGTATAGAGGAAGAAGCGAGGGTGCATCCAACTATGAAATTAATAAGCGAATTAGTTCCCGCCCTGAGTACCATCGTCCTGAGAGAAAACACAGGGGAACTTATGGTTCATGCGTCTGTCCAGAATTCAAATTTACCACTCATCGTCAGCTGGGTTGTGAATATAGTAAGACTCGTCAGTCTAGCCTACCAAAACAACAGCCTCGTGAACCAAGATAACCTAAACGACATCGAAACACTTTGTGAGTATTTCGAGGCGCTGACGTCAACCCAGGCCTTCAAAGACAATTACCAAAGTGAAGAAATGGCTGTGACAGCCGCGCGTGAACATATGAATGTAATTGAAGCGCTCCAGAGGAAAATATTTATTTCTGCCTTTGGTGAAACGACGCTGCAAGAAGCACTGGGACGTGCCATTTTGGAGAATGATTGTTCAGTTTGTTGGTCCATTGCTGATCAAGATTATGCCGTCCTCACTGCATGCAGCCACACATTCTGCATACCGTGCGCTCACCAATGGCTCACTTCCTAGTAAGAACCGACTTTAGAAACTAAATATTACTTAATTATACTAATTGCTCGATAGTTTATATGCATAAAAACTCAGGGATTTCTTGCCAAATCCAGGCATGATAAATGAAAATCAATCAATGCCTATTTTAAATTGTCAATATTGTCAATCAAGCTAATTTTTTTATCTCTGGAATAGTTAAAATCGGGTAACCGTATTACGGCAAACTTCCTCAATAAATCACCTTTGCTAAACTGCCGCTAATCAATTTGTAATTGATTAGAATTTGATTAGAAATCAATTTCACTAATCAATTTCTTTTTCTTTGTTGCAGCTCTTCATGCCCCTTGTGTCGGGCAATGCCGTGCATGGCGGTGAAAAAATCAAAGGTGGCAAGATTTGTGCATGCATCGGCTGCTGCCAGCAGCAACAGCCTCTAATGAGAATACAAGTAAATTCTTTTGGTGTTTTAATAGAAAAAATCAATTATACAGCAAAAAATATGTGAAAATCTATGAACTCTGAATTTCAAATAATGCCAAATGCGGTGATAAAATCGAAATTCATTGTAATGAATCTGATTTATTATAGTTATCCTGTATATAATTCATAATCCATATATTGTGTGATACGATGTAAGTCATCTGTTGTTCTTTTAGGATGATAGTGATAGTAGTAGCAATGATCCAGACCAGGCTACAGAACAAGCTTGGCGGTGGAAACAGCGCTGAGTCCAAGTGATGTTTGGCCCATGGCTGCCCTGCCATGTTATACGCGTGGCCTTTGTGCGAGCTATTTTGACCACTACAGTGCAAAATGTGTTGTGTTTTAGGTCCAGCATTCCAATAGAAAAAATGTCAAGCTCAAATCTTAGAATAGGATCGACGAACCGTTTAGAATGTTATAGTGTTTCTTTGTTCAAGGAATGATTAACAGCTGAACTTGATAATACAATTATTCATTGAAATATGACTCTTAATTTGTTGACATTGAGGACACGGACTTACAAAGACATGGCCAAAATTGAAATTAATGAATGCGTACTCTATCCCTGCCACGTTCCAAAACCGGGAGCACCTACGACCCAAAACTCCATATTGCTGTAATATCTTATGTCATTAGGAACTAAAATTTTCTCGATTCTCTTTGTTATTATAAAACTAAATTGCATGCCTAAAATAATTCATAATTTAGGTCTAGAAGGTGAGATTTATACATATTAGCTCCTGGAGATTAAATAATAGGATACTTATAGGGCTCCTTCATCTAACCTAAAATTGGTTGGTATTAACCACCGCCAGCGATGAATCATCACCATTGGGTGGTGAAATCCTGACCCTAGGACATACGATATAATGTGCGATTTTTTCTCCAGCACTGCCAGCTTGAGCAAGACACCGTGTCAAACTGCATAATTTTATAACGCTATAATGGTGCCGAATTTAGGTACAGTTGCATCGCTGTGCAATCCAAAAAGAGTTTAATGGCACACCAATTATTTTAGGAATCTATGAATATATATATATTCTTTATGGTTGACATGGACTTCTTCAACCCCAAGTAACAAAAGCTGATATGAGTGCAGAAGTTGGCGTCGATGACATTACTTAAGTGATCTGTGAAAACTTTTGAGGTCATGACAGCCTTTTAGTTACTTATTTTTACCCTGAAAAATAAAGTTTACTTCCTGATGCAAGATTTTCTGTCGACGACTTGCCACAACAGCAGCACGTTGCTCGCCTGTTCGCAACACGTCTGAATATTCTATCAGATCGCGCACTCACTCCTACTATCAGCTCGAGCTTTTCCTCCTTACGCCATCTTGTACTTTATTTTCTAAAGAACTAAAGTATATTTATGTGCTCGTGCTATTTCGGAAAAAATCTTACTTAGAAAAAATTGAATTGAATTTTTTTACATGCAAAATATTAGCTTAAAATCGTTCAATGAACGACCGATATAGAGACCGCTTCTGAAAATTGCGGTGAAATCGATTCATGCAAATTTGTGGCCTATTGAAATAAAATTATCAACAATTTCGCCGGAAGAAAGTTGTAGCTTACAATTTATACAATTTACTCTTGAAATGCATTTTTTGAGTGTTTTATTGTGCTTATATATGTTCTTTTTTTATTGACATTCGAGAATTGATACACCAGAATTATTTGGCACCTGTTACATGATGTTATTGGACGGTACCTATAGCTAGCTGAATCAGGTTTAAAAATAATAAAAGAGTTGTACCTTCTTCTAGCCACTCTATGAGTGGAAAATAGCAAGCAGCCTAGCATAAGTATCCGCATGATGTTTTTGATAATAGTTGGAATATTTTAATATGTGATATAATATGAATTTGTTAAAATATCCTTGTACTTGTTCGTTACTTCCATTCGTCTATATTAGTACAGGCAATAACAATAAGTTCATCCAAAATATTCATTTCAGCCTTAAAACTCGAAAATATTTAACAATTAATGGATACACACGCAATCATATTAGAGGAAGCGGCTATAAATAATCTGTAATATAACACATGACATATTTACAAATTGTAAAAAATAAGCTACCGTCCTACCTCTCAGCCCAGGTGACAATTCTAACAGCCATATTATTCATGAAGCACCTGAACTTTGAAAATGTCACGCAGAATTTTACGTCTCGTTTTTCCACACATCATTGGTTCTTCCATAGAAATTTCTATTTCTATAACGTTTTATTTTAGCTCAAATAGAGAGAAAGTATATGATTTCACAAAATCGAGTTGAGGGAGAGAGACTAGTTTAGCTTTTCTTGCAGTGCTGGAATCCGAGGCGTAACTAATTGATACTAATATTCACCTTATTGATATATTTCTAAATTTATCAACATTTAGTTTATTAGAAGCTTCCGATGCTCATGCATAAACATCCTGAAAATATTGCAATCACTTGGTTTAACTGTTAATTCTTCCCTAATGCAAATTCCATCTTTTATTTTGAAATATCGCAAAAGTATCGTGACAACTGTAAATGTTGGTCATTGAAGAATCGGTACAAAGTCGATGCAAAATCTTTGTTCATCAAGCAGTATCAATTGCATATATTTTTTAAGTTATTGATCATTAGTAACTGTTCATGGTGGGAACGTTCCGACAGGCATACAATGTCATCACACATATGTTTTGCTCTTATCAACTTCAATGAGAAATATCTTTGCAAACTATTTTCGCACTTGCTATATAATGGCTCATATTTTATCTAGGTGATACCGAGCAATTGAACAGTGATCAATCATTATCATCAGCAGTTGACTAACAATTAGTAGTTAGTATACTCTCGGGCATGGCAGTCACAAGAGTTGCGTGTTATGCAATACATGCTGGGTCCAGCCTTAGAACTCCTCTGACCATGAGAATCTGGATAAGGAAGTATTGTTAGGCACCACGCTGAGTTGTTGGAAAAATGAAGTCTTGGTAAAAAATTGTTATTGAATAACTGAAAAAATCAACGTACAATCATTTCATACCTGACAGCATGCAACTAGCTTCCGATCGACCGCTTATTTAATATAAAAACTATTTATATATTATATAAATATATATAAATATTAATTTATAAACTATTTAATATAAAAACTAAATATAAAAACTATTTCAGTCTGGAGGTAACTCTGAAATTTGCAATTGCTACTAAATTTTCATACAAAGAATTTGGCGTGATTTAGAGGATAAATTGTGTAAAAATTTTTGGTTTCCCAAAAGACTCTTTTGGGGAAACCAAAAGGAGTCTTTTTCCCTCCTACCTTTGGCCAAAGTAATAAATAATCAAGGCTCGAACCAGAAAACGTAAAAAGGGTTATAAAAATCAAGAAACATAGTTACAATAGTGATTTAATTCAACGATGATGATTTGATTTATAGCAAGTGCATGGATGGATCAAGAGACATATGTTATTTGCAGCACCGCCGGGCCGATGCATCTCTACGCCAAGGGCACTATAAGCTGCGGTCATATATAGCATGGCATGGCGAGTGCCGTCCTTCCTATATCTGCTGCGGTGGGAATACCTCGTTCAGCAACTTCGGCAAACGCTGATGATCAGTCGCAGTTTATCCGACGCGCGGAGAGGTAGAGTGAAGAGGCGCGCTTGGTCGACGTTAATTACACTATTTTTAAACGGGTACTTAGGTTGCCCATTAATTTAATGCAGTACAACTTGCTCATGACCTGCTAATCGAGAGTGTGCGATGTGGCTTCTGGTGTGACAATCTTTTCCGGATTAATTACTGCGAAACCAAACACGGAAAATATGATGTGCATCCAGAAACGTACTCTCCTTCTTTTTGCTCTCTACTTCCAGTGCTGTAAGTATTTCCTATAGAAAGACTATGAAATCGTTTATGGTTAATTTCAACCCTTGTGCGTAGGACAGTTGAATTGTGTAATTTTAGAAGGGTAGCGTTGATGTACTAATTATTTGACATATGACTGACTTGCCCGAAAAGAATAAATCACTGACCGTGAACATTGAATAGTATGTTTGTAAGAAATAGTATACATATGTTTAAATTGTAGGTTATCTTAAAGAATTTTAGCGGCCTAAAAAGATAATGAATATAAATTTGTTTCCTCTTCGCCTAGCGTGATATGTTGAAGCGCGTTGCCATTGGAGAATGTAAACTGGTTTGAGCAGTGACAACTGGATGTTGTGCAACCAAAGACCTCATTTTATTGCATTCAACTTGTGTTCTTGATTGGCCTTGAATATTGGGTGCTGTTCATTGCCACGATTAGGGAGCGGGTTGCTGAAACTGTAAGAAAATTACGCAAACATAACCGTTTTACTTAGTTTTATAGGGAACCCATCGTACGTTCTCCGAATGCGCAAAAAAATCTTGGAGGCTAAGTTCAAATTCAGCGCTGAAATGAAGAATGATCGGTATTACTGTAAAGAAAAGTTATGAGCTGGTAAATTTTGTAAGTTAACAATTACATTACATATTTCCAATTTGAACGGCAACAGAAACGAACACAGTAATATCCCGAGTCGTATCTCGAAACCTGACACAACAGGAGCTGACAAATATCGAAATAAGACAGGATACAAGCCGGGTAGGCAGCAAGTATATCCATGGCAAGACGCGCACACAGGAAGCGTAATCATACTGAAAGTGATAAGTGCCAGCTGTTCGAATTCATTCCAGAGTGTTAGCTGCATTTAAGATCAATATACCTATTCAATTTAATTTAATGATTTATTGACCAAATACACACCTAAAATATTATTGTATAGTATGTATTTAGAAGTGTCCTAACGGCCTTTAATTAAGTGACGATTTATGAAGTTCAAGTTAATAAACTAAGGTCGGCCAAACCTTGAGCAAATTGTGATTAATAAGAGAGCCAGTTGACGGACTTATTAAAATCTCAAGATAAAACAGTAACCCGAATATTAGAATCTTGACAGATGGAATAGCAGGCTGGTTCGCGTATCAGAGAAGATCCTTACGGCTAAATTAAACACGTCCTCAGGCTATAATGTGTTGGGCGGGAGCAAGAGATGAAATTAAATGCATTAAGTACTCAGAGGTGGGCAGTGGCACGCTACATGTAGCGGTAGCGGTAGCGGCGCTACATTTAAGCAATTATAGCGGTAGCGGTAGTGCCCGCTACATTTAGAGCATGTAGCGGTAGTGGTAGATGCTGATACATTTCAAAGTATCGCTGCCCAGCTCTGTAGGTACTCAGCATGAGCCCTTTGCATGCGAGAATTCAACGGGGTTAGCAGAGACCTATCAGCAACAAGACCCCAACTAATTCGGTGCCTCCCTCTTCGAAGTCTCTGAATCGTGCACCTTGCTCCCTAATTTCAACTACCTTAACCTACACATAATCTCCTAGTCGCTACTACTTTCAAATAGAAAAATTTCTTATACAATTTTCAGAGTGAAAATATGTCATTAGAACTTAAAAAAATAGATGGTCATTAAGTGAAATGAATTTGAATAGATTTCTAGAATGGTTCAAGTTGTTCATTTTAAGGGAAAATGTGAAGAAGCAATGTATAATCCAAAAAGCGCCATAGGCTTTCATGTATCTGTTATGTGATGATATACTATTTCATACTTTACAGATGATATACTATTTCCTATATGACAAAATGCGAAGGCAATCGAGAATTTACTTGTACTAATGCGCAAGAAAATTCGAATCAGGCTGAAGACTTTGGTCAATCTCAGATTTGATTAGTATAAACCGAAAATACGATCAACAATTACTTATGAAACTACAATTTCGCATCATTCTGGTATTCTCACTACTGGTAATTGGAACGAAAATGTGTATTTTTAATCGGTTTGTCGTGCTAATTCATGTCGCGGCATTTGAAAGTGAGACGCTCGTAAGCGCATGTTGGAGAGGTCCTGCGCGCGGTAATTCGGCAGGCTACGAGTATGACGTTATTTTAACATGCTATTTTTACTATAATGCAAATTATATCCAATGATATTTGTGCTGAAAATGCTGCCCAGTTTAGAACATTTTCATCTAAACCATCGAAATATTCTAAATCTGCATGGACGGCCATGCGAGAGAATGAGAAATTGATCTGAGTATGTTCTTGACTTGTTGCCAGGTATGAGAATAATGCCTTCGCCTCCTCTACAGGTATGAGTGCTCAACACAGCGTTTCTACGGGAAGTAGTCCCGTGATATCTTGCTTTATCGAGGGCTGGTCAGTGCTCAGGCCTATTGGTGCTGGCAAGTTCAGTTTGGATGACATCGACCCCAGTCTCTGCACCCACCTGGTCTTCCTCTTTGCTGGTCTCGACGACGACAGATCAACCATTTCTCTTGACCCAACATACGACACTAGAGGTGAGCATGCAACCTTGGAGCAATGATTTGTGTGATGAATATTCTATATATGTGAACATTTGAATATTTAATAAACATTCTATAAGTTGTAATGAAGATTCTATATTCCACGTATATATTTGAAGAAAAATAGAACTTGCACTTGATGAATACTAAAGCAGAGTAACAATTAGCAAATATTGTTTTTTTTTAGAAACAGGAAAAGATAGCAACTTCATTTTGTAACTTCGTCATTAGACTAATGTTTTCTTCTGGGTTAACAAAATAATTGTTGATTATACAAATAGGGAAGAACGTGAAATTGATTATTTCAACCGCGCAACAGCACCTAGCTTTCATTTTCGGAATCATGGAAAATACCGATCATAACATCATAATCGTAAAATATACATGAATAATATTCCACAGGAGCGCTCAGGCAACTCATGGCCATGAAGGCTCGTGTTCCCTCGCTGCACGTGACTGTGGCTGTCGGGGGATGGTCTGAAGGATCCGTAGGATTTTCCAAGATGGCTTCCTGGCAGCCCAATAGGAAAGCCTTCATCGACTCGGCTTTGGAATATTTGAGGTAATCAGTTTAAATATTCGTCGCTAATATTGAATTTGTGCTATTTATCGATTATTTCTTACATTTTAGCGCAGTTGGTCTTTAATTGTCCTCGTTTGATTGTTCTCGTTCGATGTTTCATGCTGAATAGAAGAAGCAATATAATTGTTGGTCAATTTTTAATCTCATAAGAAAAATTAAAATTGTTATATGTCGTTTTCGTGTTAGGCATTTAGTCACGTAATTCGTACGTTTTCCTCAATAATACTTATTTTTTAACCAAAGAGATTAAACAAAACTTAACGTTTATCAGAAGAAATAACTTGAAAATGCACAAATGAATGATTTGTCATGTCGTGTTGTTATCCTGCATTTCATGCATATGCAAATCTAAATCTAGTCTCTTCACAGTCTTGTCCAGTGAGCGCTGACAAAGTTCGGAAAATATTTGTGAAGAAAGTCCTCCTGTTGCTTGATGTGATGGTGAAAATTTTATTGAATGTCTTTGACAAATACTAATGCGTATTTACCGCTAAATATGTTCACTTATAGAATGGGGCCCATGAAGCACAAAGAATTCGAAACTAACCGTGAAACCGTTGAAGATCAGCCCATTGCTATCAGTTTAATGAAGAAACTAGACACTCAGCGGCTATTGTTTACGCATTCATCTCCGCCGCTTTCGATTTAGCAAGGGAAATGTGACTTTGTATTAATTAAGCTATGGCTTAATTACGAGTAAGAAGAAATTACGAGTAAGAAGAAATTTTGTTTATTCATTATTTTAGGGGTTTTTATTGAGAGATCAGATACTATAGTATAATTTTTTATCTTGCATTTACTAGTCGATACTTCCTACCAAGAACAATTTCAACAATGAATTGATAAGATTTTTTTCACCGATCTTGTTGTCAGAGCAGACGGGTTTGCGTCTAAAACTTGTTCCGTACTTAAGATGCAGAGGCATAATTAACGATAAAAGTTAACCCACATTGAAAACTCGCCAAAGCGTTTCATCCTTACTAATAATTCTCACTAAACTTATACAATAGTGTAGAAAATTTTAGAACCTGATCAGTACTAATAATATTCGTTGCTATCGTGGCAGGCGTTACCAATTGGATGGCTTGGATATCTTCTGGCATAACCCAGCTCAACAAATTCAAGGAGGTCACCCGGAAGACAAGCGCAACTATGTTACTTTAGTTAAGGTATCTTCCCCTGGATAAATGTTGACTTTGCGAGCTCTGTACGGCCACCCAGTAACCACAAATAGCATGTGTTTACATGTAATTTATTGAATTTCTGCCAATTGTTGAAATTTCTATTATCTGGAACTTCAAGTCTATAGTTAAAATGATTAGAGTTGGCAAAACTTTATATTGTATCATGTATTTTCTCGGTTTTAAGTACCTCAAAAAATTTTATCCTGGTTTTATGCGCAATAGTTCTGACTTTATGCTAAAAATAAATACATTTCCGCATTTTCGCAATGTGGTGTGAATAAATTTTCGCACCACAGGAACTGAAAGAAGCTCTCAGGCCTGAAGGATTCTCCCTGACCGTGGCGGTGATGTCAGGCAAGAGCGTAATCGACGATGGCTACGACCTACCAGGCCTCGCCGAGCACGTTGGTGAGTCCTCCTAATATATGAAATTTTTCTGTCAAAATTGTGTTCACTATTTCTAAATTTCGTTGGCAATATATGAGCATAATCGTATCCACATGGGCCGGTCTGTGATAGTTTACAAACGTCGCAATGCTGTGAGAATATTGATGAGTGTATTTAGTTTCACTGTTACTTAATGCTGCGCTCATTTCATTTTGTATTTGTTTAGTGCAACATCCATGTTACAGCATCCATGTTGCAGCATCCATGTTCTTCATCGTTCCTTGATAGTGCGTTCGCCACGTTGTTCGCTGTTCACTGTTACTGCGTTCTCTTTATTTGTTACCACTGTAACTGCATTCGGACAATAATTCGCTGTTCATTGTTGTCACGACCTTTTTTTTCTCTGCACTGTTAATGCATACATCTTGTTTACTGTTCAAAGTTGACAATTTTAGTGCTCTTCTATGATTTGGATGCCCATTTTATTTCATTAACTCCTAATTGGAGGTGAATTTCTATTTTCTAGATTTCTTCTACCTGCTGGCCTACGATTATCACGGAAAGTGGGAAGAAATTACTGGCCTCAACGCACCTCTTTACCCTCACTCGGGGGAAACGGATCTCGACCGAACACAAAATGTCGTAAGTTGTTAGTACATTGCTTTATGGTGTATATACTGCGTAACAATGCTTTAGAAATGATAGGAATTGTAAAATTAAAATCTTTGTCGTCAAGTTTCCCTTCAATCGTTGGATAATGATGTCTGCTCTGCAGGATAGATTAACATGAGCTCGACTCCAATAGTTCAATCAACGTTCCCGCTCAGAGTCGAGCGAAAATTCGGTATTCAATGTATGTAGCAGAAATGCTTACCACTTGACTGACACCACAGAATTTCCTTATTGTGCCAGAACTTCACGGTATCGTACGCACTGGAGATGGGGGTGCCCGCCGAAAAGATTGTACTTGGGCTTGCACTTTTCGGTCGAAATTTCGTGCTGGCGGACAGCAAGAATCATGGAGTTGGTGCTGCTGCTCTGGCAGGAGACCCTGCAGCCGGGGACGGACTCCTCACCTATATGCAGGTGAATGCAAACAAGCATTGCGTTATACGTGAATAATGGATGCAAAGCCCATATATTCACAAAATTGTAAACATGTCAAAAGAAAAAGGATACATGAAATTTAATAAAAAATTATTAGATTATGTATGTAAATTAGAAGCATTGAGAATCAAGAATATTCTACTTATGAAACGCCAAACAGCACTCAAACGGTCTAGTAAAGAGTCTGTCATTATTATCACGAGATTACCTCATATAGGAAATCTATAGGATTGGGGTGCAAAAAATGCTAGCTGCGCTCACATTACTGAGACATATTGCGACTCTATTATGCCAGGTAGGTTCTAGGAACACTTGAGAGAAGCAAAACAGTGATCTATGACATTCAAGCCCAACTGTTTCATTCTCAAGTTAATTTAAGATTTGTTGAGTCGTTAATTGTGCGGTTGAAGGCTGCTTTGGTTCGAAAACCATCTATTTTCTCAAAAATATAGGTCTAAGCCAGTGGTTCCCAAAGTGGGCGATATCGCCCCCCTATAGGGGTGATGGAAAGATTTTGGGGGGCGGTAAGGAAGAAAAGGGCGATAGGGGGGCGGTAGGGGGGCGGCAGTCTGAAGTCGAAGTCAGAAGTTCCAACGTTCGTTTGACTATTTGTACACAAGACGTGCAGCACATGACTCCCAGCGATGGTTTTTTCACCCAGATTCGTTTTTTTAACTTCACCTGGTTTTACGTCTCGAACAAATTTACGGTCGGACTCGTGGCCGACCGCCTCACGTCCAATTTCTAAATTCAACGATCATGGAATATCTCTCAAGCTAATTAACTTACCTCAATGAAACTTTGTACACGTATTCATTAGGACCTAACGATAATGTTTAGCTTATTAAATTTTTTAAATTTTTCCCTCATTTGTTTTTGCCATTGTTAAATGGCTATACGGGCCGAAATTCAAAGTGATCAAGGAATTTCTTCCAAACTACTGAACATATTCGAACGAAATTTTGAATTTGCAATCCTAACTACACAGCAGTAATGTTTAGCTGATGAAAATTTTGTTGATTGTGCTTTCGTTCGCGAGTTTTTTTTTTTTTCATTTCACCTTCAGTCGTGATTTAAACAGCAATACGTGCTTAAATTGCTGTTTAAACAGAAATACGTGGAAGAAATTCTTTGATCACTAGCAGCGAAATTCGGCCTGTATCGCAATATAACTTACGAATGAAGGTGAAATTAAAAAAAATTTACGTGCTAAACATCACCGTTAGGTCATGATGAGTACATTTTCCAAGTTTCATTGAGCTGCGTTCATTGGTTTGGGAGATATTACTTGATAATTGAATTTGGTCCTGAGAACGGCCACGAGTCCGGCCGTAAATTTGCCCGAGACGTCTTAGGTTCCTAGTGCTGAAACAGTTAAAACAGCTGAAAAACATTGGTTCACTAAATGGGGTTCTATTTGTGAAATACACTTGTGTTTAACCTTTAGCTTTTAAAATTGCGGCGTACTAAATTTCAAGAAAAAAACGTATGTTTTTATATATGAGTCTGTGGGGGGGCGCTAGAAATTCACTAGGGAGCCAAAGGGGGCGCCAGCCTGAAAAAGTTTGGGAACCACTGGTCTAAGCAATATTAATAATAATTTAAATCATTTACTATGAATACTGTTCGTGCTGGCACCTGTATGGAGTTACATGGTCAACTTTTATATGTATGATAGCTAGAGAAGCTTCATTTCTAATAATGATTATCACGGTCGAAACTTGCTAAATTTGTTTATCCATAGGAATTTATTGCAACACTGTCTCCTCTTGAGGTAACATGATGGTATCGATGATACTACTCTCTAAACAACCATGAAGTGATGCCTCTAACAAATCCAAAATGCTTTCAATTTGACCGTGCGTTTCTGGCGATGCTATGTGTTATAAAAAGCGGATTATTCATGGCTTTGTTCTAGTACAAAGGCTTTAATGAGCGTAAAGCGTTGAAAAATTCTTGACCATGTTATTAACATTCTGAAGCGAATAATCCGAAACAATAATTGGTTATGAACGCGTTCATATTTGGGGCGTTCATTTAAGTGTGTTTTCCAGATCTGCAAGCGAATAGAGTCGGAAGGAATAGCTTGGTCTCTCGCCCGTGAACAGGAGCAGCGAGCACCGTTCATCTACCGCGGCACGGAGTGGATCGGCTATGACGACTCACTGTCTATTACTGAGAAAGTAAGCTATTATATGCACTGGTAAAAATTTGCGATCTAGGTCCAGATTTGGTATAGTTGAGCACAAGTTGTTCTTTTGTGCACATTTCATTTAGGACCAGAGTGCTTTTTTACTTACAATATCTATATATTTTTTCTCTCTCCGATGAATTAAGCTTTTGGTAGGATTTATGAAATTGAATGTCTATAAGAACGTAAACTGTATCATGTTGCCTAATTCGACTAGTTAGTTTCACGTCCATTTCTGCAATCATAATTGCATTAAATTTTATTATAATTATTCAATATAAATTGATAAATGTATTTTTATTTTATTTTACCATATACATGCAAATTCCTGAGTCAATTTCAACCATTTGAAGCCCCCAGTTATTTCGTAGAATCAGTGAAGAGGCTGAAAGTGAAGAGTAGTATTTCATTTGTGAGTTAGCTGACAAAGTTAACTTCCTTTCGTGTCGGGATGAGATGATATTGTTTTGGTAGCCTGTTTGTTAGGATTTCGATAATATATTGTCATCTCACCTATATAAATTTGGCTCATTCTATTTCTCGGTAGGCTATTGGTTCTTCAGCTAATTCTATACCATGTGCAAGGTTAACTATTATGCGTATTCTAGTACTGTACTTCTATTTAATTTGGTTGCAATTGGAATTAGTGAGTTTACTTCAGCTTCAAGGTTATTATTTTTTATATGTTCGTGATCGTTTTCCTTTAAATTGGCATTATAATTTAAAAATTTCCTAAATACGCCATTTTAAAATTTCCAAATACGCCATCTTAAAAATCGACCTCCTCCAATAATTTCCAAGCTATAGCATTAAGAATTATACCATTTGATTCATAAATGAAATTTCTATAGATCATCCGGCCTTTTTTTCGATTTGTATTTTGTCTTGATTATATACTGAAAAGGAGGAGAACGGGGTAAAAATGGAAAAAATCAGAAAAACTAAAAAATGAAAAGATCTTTAGATATGGTCTTCACACATCGAATGATATGTCTCTCGATATTCTAGCTTTGAAAATCCTAGGAGGAGATAGATTTCTACATATCACTTTTTTTGCCGTTTTCTATGAATTTCACGTTTTCTTTCATTTTTTTCGAAAACTTTAGGGCGGATAGCTAGAGGTCAGCATAGCCCAAGTCCACAGTGCGATTCATATACCTTCCCGAGCGTAACGCAGCCGGGCATCTTCACGGCTTTTGACACATAGCGCCCACCACAACAGCGCAGTTCAGTCACAGGCACTGTTTCACGGCACCGGAGCACAACTGGCCGGAGCGCAGCAGGCCCTACTCCTAACCTAACCCAACCTAACCTAACCTGCGCCTGTTGCGGCAGGGCCTGTTGCGCTGCGGCCAGTTGTGCTCCGGCGCTGTGAAGCAGTGGCTGCGTTTTTTAAAGTTGGTGTGGTGATATGAGTCACTTACACACAGCTCATTGATCTGAGGCTATGTGTAGATATTGCATGCTGATGGTTGGCGTTGGGCCCAGGGCCAGTTTACGAGTCAATTTTGTTACCCACGGCTGCGCTCCCAAAATTTACATAAACAAAAAAGTCATTGATTTATATTTTACATTCGTGTACCAAATTTCATAGTGATCCGTCCGTAAATAAAAAAGTTTTTTTGACCGACTTGCTCCCCAAAATGTGATGTCTGGTTTCTACTTTCATAAAATTGAATGCTTCAAGCATGCATATCGGTATCTAAGTAGCAAAAATAATAATCCAAAAATTTCGCAATATCTGCAACCCTCATATTTTTTAATTAATTAAAATTAACCCTTCCCCTGTTTATGCTACAAGTTTAGATTTTTCTTCTATCAGTGAAGTTCTTGCTTTTGCTTGCATCATTCACTTGTGTTATGTTCAGTTTCTATATGATAGGTCTCGTTGATCATTTATTTAATAAATCGATTCATTAACTGTCCATATTTATGGTCACCAATCAATATTGCCAAACCTTTAGCGATGACCAAAATATTAATTATCAATATCAATAAATATATTAATTAATAATCAATATTACCAAACCTTTAGCAAATTTCTAGCGATGTTAGTGCATTCAATGAACACTGATCTGACATGTGAATTTTTTACACTAAATTTCAAGTCCTGGGAGCAAGCAGTCTGTACACCATCTTCTAGAAACTAGCATGTAGCATATTGGGTACAATACTGTTGTACTGTCAAACATCGTGTCCGCAAAAGCTGCTACCTCAAAAGTTGATTAAAATAAATCTATGTTGTTTAGATAGACCTGGCCAAGATGCTGCACCTGCGCGGAGTGAGTGCGTTCGCCATATCCACGGACGACTTCGAAGGCGAATGTAAGGCCGGCAAGTATCCGCTCCTCAGGACGATCAACGCTGAGATGCGAGAAAGTGGCGTCGAACATAATCGTAAGTCCAAAATGATTATTAGTTTCTGTAAAATATGTATGATAGACAGTTTATTTCTATAGCTACTTGACTCTGAATTCGAAGTCATTATTGTTTGCTATAATCGTGGTCCAACTCTACTAATATTTATTGAATTTAGATGTCTTTGTCACTCAATTTTCAAATACAGTCTTTGTCATGTTTTACTGCGTTTTTCTTTAACATTGTTAGAGGTAACATGGTAAGATAGCGTAGCTGGTGCAGCTGTAAAATAAAAAAATCTTATTTTCAGCGTCAAAATGTAGCGTGGTCGCGTCGAGTAATGTGAGCGTGGCTGTTCTATCCTGTGGATCAGCGAATGATAAGTAAGGCAAACGTTTTAGTTAGATCTACTATTAGTATTTTCTCTTACATATATCTACTATTAGTATTTTCTCTTATCTTGACGAAAATTGTATTATTATTTTAATCATGCCCATTACGTTTCGCATAGTTTGTACTGAATTTTTAGTAGGTCATCGCAATTTCCATTAACTCGTCCCATTCTCGTGTCGCATTGATTATGTTGTATCAATTAATTCGTCCCTTTCCCGTGTTGCGTTGATTGTGTTGTATTTATGAATGTGTGTATATAAGTATTTACGTTATAATTACATTTCATTATTGCTTCTTTCTTGTCCGTTCTCAGCCCAGCAGAATGTGATGCTGGCGACACCGTCCCGCCTCAAACCGTCGTGCAAGCCACGTGCTTGGAGACTGCAGACATGACTGCCAGGTCAGGCTTGTATTCATGCACAGGTCAATTCTGTGAACTGGCATTTCGTTCAGATATGATCTGAAACAATAACTTTTAATTGGTATCTGCTGCAACTTACCTTTCTTCGTGAACAACCATCTCTTCAAGGTGGAAAATTCCAGGTAGGTTGGCTTGGTGTTGCTGAATTGTTTATAAACCGGTATTAATAGATTGATGAAAAGTTATCTATAAAAAGAGCTGCATAGGCACCATCCTTGTTACCAGTCACACTCCGGGCTTATTGCTTTTATATATTATATTACGATTTAATATAAACTTTCTGAGGATTTGTTATTTATTAAAGATGTCACGACGACGGATTCTGGAGACCGTTCATACAGGAGGACGGATGGTTTGACAAGAAGACGGCCATTCTATGTCAGCCGTACGACATCAAATCGGAAGGTAAAATTATCAATTATCCCTTAATATCCTGTCCACTATTGAATTAATTATTGATAAATCACAGTCTTGCAATACTAGAATATAGCCAAGGTTTCGATCCTAATTACCTTATTATGAGTTCGGGACTTCTAATCCCCGGTCACGCTGATGCGGCTCCTTCGTCGTCCTCCGTCTCCGAGTCGTCGCTAGGCGGGTCGTCCCGCCTTCGAGTCCCGGATGTAACGTTGGTGGTGTTCCGTCCATTTGCCCTCATTTGGGACAGCTGATGCAAGATACTGTTGCTTGACACTTGCTGAGGGCAGTTTCCCATAACTGGACAATCCGGTATCTTTCTCAATCAATTATCCAGTCGTCTCTTGAATGTTGCAAGGGTGAACTCCCCTCCTCTCAGCACGTGAGGCAAGGCATTAAAGGAACCCGGTCCTGCCACGGACAGTGATCCCTCACAAAGAGTCTGTACGCTGGCCGCGGCTGTTATTAGATGGGGGAATCCTACACAGTTTCCCCTCCTTTCCTTGTGACGTGTCAATATTCTGGAGGTCTCACTCTCAAAGTTTAAAGCCAGTCCGGTTATTATCTTCCAAGTGTACAGTATGATATACCTCTCTCTTTTCCTCTCCACTGAGTACAGTCCCAGGAGTTTCAATCTTTCCCCAGTAGTCCAGCAGCAGCTCCTTCATACCGCTGATCCTAGACGTGAAGGTCCGCTGGACTGACTCCAGTTTCCACGCCGCGCCCGCTTTGAGCGGCGCCCAAAGTTGGTAGCAGTATTCAAGATTGGGCGCACTAGGGCTCTGAAGGGTGTAATTCTTGGTGCTGCTTCTCTTGTTCGAAATGTCCGCCAGATTCATCCCATCCATTGCCACCTTCGCGCGACTATTTCCTTGATCTGGGCATCGAACGTGGCTTCAGTACTGACACAGCTCGTCTGTTACGACTGCAAATTGAGGTAATAGTTCATCGGGTCAGAGTTCATTGAAATGGTCTTTTGGAAAATGGACAGTCAAGGAGACTGAGAGACAGAGTTGACTTTGAGTTAATACTATATTTATATTACGGAACGAGTGACAAAACGGGGTGAAAGTTAGCAAGGCTTTAGCTGCAGCCAGCAAACGTGTTGCACGAGCGGCAAGGTAGTGACTGACTATCGGTGCTGATGGCACGGCAAAGAACCGCAAGTGTGATGCCACTGAAGGCGACATACACAATTAATGAACAGCTGAGGATGTCGTCAGTACCGGACAGTACACTCAGTACTGACATGTGTACTCATGTGTACTCAGACAGTACACATCAACACTCCGAGATCTCGAACTAGTTGATTCTCCTCAATTTCTGCGCCATCTGATACCAAGTTGCGATGTGGCATCCCAGTCTCTGTGTGGACTCTGTATCTCATTACTTCGAACTTGGTGCCGTTGAACTGCATATTGTTCACTAGGGCCCAATCGTAGATTGTCGACAAGTCATCCTGTAACCTCTAGAAGCCTAGGTCATTTGTTATCTTCATCAGCGCTCTTGTATCGTCTGCAAATGACGATGTGAATGCGAAGGTAAGCTCCGCGTCAATATCGGCAATGTGGATGAGGAAGAGGATCGGTCAAAGCACTGAGCTCCTGTGTAACTCCACTTGTCACCCTCGTTTTTCTCGATTTCGAGCTTCCAATTGCGACAGTTTTTACTCTATCTGTAGGGAAGTTGTGGAACCACCTAAGCAGGCTTCCTCCTACCCCCATGGTCAACTTTGTCATAAGCTTTAGCAAAGTCCAGGTACCGTCAAACGGGGTGATAAGGAACGAGCAGGGTAATAAGGGACAATCCTCCGACATTTCGTAGAAATGTTGTAGCAGCTGAACTAATTAAAATATTGCAAAACTAAAAATAGTGGCGTAAAGTTCAACATTTTTCCTATTTATGTAGCATAAAGCAAGGTAAGAAATCATACATTTACTACCTGTAAAAACACCCTGAAAAAAGTGTGAAAAGTGAGAATTTGGAAAAGTACCTCTGCCAAGGTCTGCAGCAAAAAAAATATTCGCCGTATTGAAAAATTTTACTTACATAAAAGTTGCACACAGGTGTTGGCTTAAAAACGTGATTGACAGAATTTGTGTAGCTCATTAGAAAAAATAGCGGCCATTTCCGCACGACGGGGAAATAAGGGACAACCCCCCGGGGTAACAAGGGACACTCCTAAAAATGCATTTACAGTAGAACCTTGGTTAGCAAAGGCTCCAGTTAACAAAAAAATTATTTAACAACAAAGAATTTTGATTACAATTACCTCGCTTAGCGAAAAAAATTCCACTTAACAAAATATTAATGCATCATCGGTCATCACAAAACTGTGCATAGAATGTCATAGATAGAATTGTTCACCAGGCAACATAGAATGAAAAGTAATTAACCTAAACTATGATTTTTTCTCAAAAAAATATGATGGGTGTCACTAAAATATTCCCTTCTGTTTTAGGTATGTTTTTTTACAATCTTTTTTTTTGTTATAGTGAAATCACTTGACCCAATTAAAATGGTGTGAAATTACATCCGCCCTGTAAGCTTACAGATACAGGAGAAATGCTACATGGCTGCTGATATGAAGCTTGCAGGGGACAAGGTTGTTGTCAATCCTCAATGGCATGTCCATAGATAAGGTAATATCATATCAAAAATACGTTAATGTATGGACATGGTAATATCATATCAATAGAGGAAAAACAAGTAAAAATCCCAGAAAATGTCATTTATTCTACATCTACATCATCTAAAAAAGAAGATGGGGACTTCAGAGTACTTTTAGTAATGAATGAGTACACTCTGCATGCTTCAAACGTTTTAAATTAAGTTTTATATCAAGTGTCCCTTATTACCAAATTCTCAGGGATAGTTCAGGAGGCTTTTATTTTGCGTCTTGCGCCGTACGAATAGCATATGGAAGTTTTTTAGAGATGCCATACGATAGCCCTCGCACATACCTTTAAATTGAGCCCAAACTCTATGAAATGTTTCATGTTAAGAAGTTATTAAGGAAAACGCTCAAAACCGTCCCTTATTACCCCGTTTGACGGTAGAGTACGTCCACGCCGGCTCCCTCCTCCAGCTGAGCCACCAAGCGGTGATGGTGCTTCAGTTACTGAGACAACAGGAACGATTACGTCGGAAACCATGTTGTCCATTATTATACAGGTCTGCCTCTCCCATATACTGGACAAGCCTCTTTGCCACTATCTTCTCAAAAATCTTGATCACATGTGAGGTCAAGCTCACAGGTCTGTAACTTTGGGGTCTGTCCCAAAATTTGGAGTAATCGGTCCCACTTTGAGACCCTCAGGGAAAATGCCCTCTGTCATCAAGGCTTTCCAGAGCATTGTGAGCGGAGCCTTCAGTGCTCCATCACACTTCTTCAACAGCACTGCCAGAATGCCATCGGGTCCTGGGGCTGAAAACGTCGCCAGTTCTTTGATACTTATTTCTATGTCCTCTGGTCCAAACTCAATGTTCTACAATCCCCTTCGACCTGGCAGCTCCTGGAGAACTTCAATTTCATTCTCCTGTCTTAAGTAGCGGGAGTTACTGAACACTAATTCAAACTGCGATCACAGTAACTCGCACGTGCCATGGTCATCTCCGACAAGGACTTCAGCGGGCCCACTGGCGTGTTTATTGTAGCCATGGACTGAGCGTATTTAAAAAATTCTTGGGGTTCTCTCTTATGACCTCAACCACTCGCTCTTCAGCAGCTTCTTCTTCCGACCTGTGCGAGTCCAGCAAGTCATGCACAAGGAAACCAGTTCGATTTCCTTGTGCAAATCTACTAGTCTCTATCTTTTCAGTTCACTAGTGGAGTCAGTTATTTGTTTATTCAATCTCTAGCGTTTTCTCATTAGGGTTCATCGGTCTCCCGGAATGCTGCGGACTTTAGGGCATGTTTTTTCTCGGGTTATGACGCACTCATACCTGTGCTAGTTTCTTACATAGTTTTGTGTATATTTCCTCTGCATTCATCTCATGAAACTCTTCTCTCCAATCAATTTCGTCAATTTCATTCCAAATTGCCACCCAATCCGTTCTTCGATGGTGGGAGTCAAGTCCTGCCAGTCTCTCTTGGGGTATAGACATGGGCTGGGTTTCAATTCCAATTGTCGTATCCACCATAACTAAGCAATGGTCAGACAGTGAGGTCTCTTCTACCAGAACGTCAACCACCATGCTTTCATTATTAGTAAAGAAGAGATCGAGGATCTTGTGTTCCCTTGTCGGTAGCCGTACTTGCTGACTGAGCAAGTGTTCCGCAGCAAACTTCACTAATTTAGCTTCTTGACTTCTTCGCGGTCATAGAATTCTAAGCCGCCAGGGCTTGTCTAACGAATACGTGGGAGATTGAAGTCCCCCCAATTATCAGGCTGGGGGCTGGATCACCCAGTTCAGCCACCCTGGTCTCTATTTCTTTATGGGTTTTGTTAAAATTTTCCGGTGGGCAAGCAGGCGGTTTATAGACTGTATATAGTTATTTTATGTGGAGTATCACGTGTTCAACACAGCCATTAGAGTTTGCAGATTTAGATCTTAATTTCACAGTGCTTCTTGCAAGGGAGTTCCTAAGGTAGACAATTACTCCACCTTTCTTTCTCCCTCCTGCCGGTCCGCGCGGTAGTGTTGGAATCCTTCCACTGCAATTTCTGCATCCAGAAAATCTTTTCTTAGGTGCGATTCCGTTAGTGCAATCATAAAAATTCCACCCCCGTCGGCCATCTCTCTCAGCAGGCCAATCTCGTGACGCGCTCTTTGTGGAAAGAATCCCTGCAAGTGGGCCAGCAGAATGCCAGACTCTCGCCATCTTGGTGCGCTAACCTGCAGCGACACCACTCTGCTTTACGCCCCAGGCTCAGCAGCTCCTGCATCTGGAGTTTCATTAGTTCCAGCTGTTGCATCTGGTGTTGTATTTGCTTCCTCATTTATAAAAAAAAGTACTGAGGTAACCTCTTGTCCCCCGCGTGCGTCCCTGTCCCATACGCATGGGCCACTCACTGGTGTAGCTAGGTCATAAGATAACATAACATTGCGATCTCGGCGCTGCAGTGTAGGCCTGATGTGGCCTGTCGCCGATTCTTTTCCTTTTCGTGCCTTGTTCACAGAAGATCTAAAATCGTGTCATTTGACCGGATCTTTTCACGACTGACGAAAGTTTGAAATAGCTACTCGACTTCCACCAGGTTCGATATGGTGCTAGGCATTTCAAATCTGAACATATATTTTCCCATAGCTTTATCTAGTCTGTTCTTGAACGCGTTCATACTTGGAGCGCCAACGATGTCATCGGGGAGGCTGTTCCACATGTCGGTGATTCGAAGCGAGAAGAAATTTTGTCGCGTGGAGAAGTTGCAGCGCAGTTTTTTTAGTTTATAGATGTGGCCCCTGGTTTTGGTTCTTGTTTCAAATTCTAGTAATCCTTCGGGGACCTTGTATCTCGCCTTCTCCAAGAACTACCCTCATCACCGCTCCTTCTGCCACTGTTTCCCGCAACCCTATCACTGCCCTGTCTTCCTTGTGATGGTGGGGCCTGTGAGGGTGAGGGTGGGGGCTGGCGTCCAGCTGGAGCCCTTCGTTGTGGGGTGAATCATTGCTGCCTCCTCTTCTGTCGGCTTCCACCATTCGCTCCCGTAATTTTATGTGAAGGAATGTGCAGTTGTCATTTGTGCAATCCCCTTTCTGCATAACACTCCAGTGCAACTTAGGGTGATAGAACGCGCAGTCCCTTCCTTTTTTGCACCCTCGTGGATGCCCGCTTCCGTAGGAACAAAATTTATAACACATTCTGGGATGTGAAAATCTGCAGCCATCGCCCTATCTCCCGTGTTCACATTTCTTTTGCAGGTACTTCTAGCAAACGCCTTTCATTGCTGGTGGTCTGCTTGAGGGTACATCTTCAACTAGGGTGGATGGTAGGGTTGTAAGGGTTGGGAGAGCTGCGAAAGGACGATGGCAAGCCATCTTCTAAGGCACCATTCTCGGGGGTTTGAGTGGTAGCAGAAGCATTGGTAATTCTAGCGTTAGGGTCTAAATCAGAGGAAGGAATGATGGTGGGATCAGATGCTGGGGCACTGGAAGGGCTGAGTTAGTTAGTTTAGTGGCCGTAGTTGCTAGCGCTTCAGGTCGAGCTATGGAAGGGCTGAGGGCAAGTTTGAGGCAGGGGGTAGATGTAGGGTTTGGAGTGAGGGAAGAGGTGGGTAACGGGGTAGGGGAAGAGGCAAAGGTAAGGTGAATGCATGAAAAGTGGAGGTGGTACGGGGGGAGGTGTGGCCGAAGTCAGTGGTCACGCCAGCCACCAGTTTAGGTCGATCCGTAATGGCTGCGATAAGTTTATTTCCGTTTTCTTTAAATTTTTTTTTGCAAATATTCATTACACAGTTCTTACATTTATAGGTAACTCTGATTTGGTCGAGCCGAACAAGACAATAAATCGGCATTTTGGTGCATTTTAGAAGTATGAATAGCCTGCATTTGCGGCACTGTACTACAAGCGCCGCATTACACTGCTCATTACTAATTATGCTCGAACTTCCCATAGTGGGTTGCATAACAACACATTTAGCCTCTAACCTTGTTTTTTGTTCTCTTTTACAGTAACACTGAATATTTTGTTCAGTTGGGTTCTCTGTATTAATCACTGAGCTATAACACTGACCAAAACATCCTGTACCCAAAGTGCTGGATGCTCGACAGGAAGTCGTAAATAACTTCGTAGGCTTTCGGGCGTTGCGGCCACACTTATTTCACTGATTTCTGTAAAAACTTGACACTCTACTTCACTACTTCACTTTGTGAATGTTACAATTCCACTGTTCAGAACTGTTTACGCTTTTTACCGAGTCCTATTTATTTGTAAAAAGTAATTTCCTGAACACTTTCACAATGAACAATTAATACCTTTTTACTGACTTTCCTGATTTTCCGCCGAAACACTGAATTTCTTCACTTTGGCCCAAGCTGTATACATTAACAACTGGCCGACAAAGAATAATAACAGTCAAAAACTAACAATTAACTTCAGGCAACGATTCTAGACAGAGCTGACACGTGCGTTCTCGACCGCGTCTACGAGGGAAGTCCCATGTGATATCCCCACCCTGTCTCCCAATTGTCTCGTTTACTCTTAGTCCTTTACAGCTTTCTGCCCCTCACCACACTCTGCCTCTCGCCATACTCTGCCCCTCCTCACACTCTGCCTCTCACCACACTCTGTTCCTCCTCACACCCTGCTCCTCACCACATACTCTCTCACCACACTGCCCCTCCCCACACTCTGCCTCTCACCACACTCTGTTCCTCCACTCTGCCCCTCACCACTCTGCCCCTCACCACTCTGCCCCTCACCACTCTGCCCTTCACCACTCGGCCCCTAACCACTTATTCATTTCAGCAATATTTTAATGATTGTTCATTTCTGTAAAAAAAAGTTTGAATTCGAAGTCATTGTTCACGTTAATTATTTTTCAAACATATAGATATTCTAACTGCCCAAATATTTTCACACTATGAGTAAAATCATGCATTGACGATTGTGAATATTTATATACAAATGCATGTTTAGGTAGAAGAGAGGTCAAAAATGACCCTTTTCTGGCGATAAAATTCCAGATGCTATATTGTCTTGGACTGAATTCGAGGCTACCTAAATCTTCTCTTTTCAGCCAAGTAACGTTGAAGCCAAGGACAGTAAGTAAGACATTCTTGATACTCAGTCCAGGTTTACTGCCGGAAAGTTCGACCGTAAAGCTGCACACAATAGAGCATATGTAATACTCGAAACAACAACATTAACTTTTAATCTCACTGAAAGTTAACAAAATACCAAAAAACTCGTTATACATAATCGATGGCAAGGTACTGAACGTTGCGAAAAAATAATAATCGTAAATTAAAGCTGGCAACAATCTAAATATTTCATCTATGTGTAAATAATGCAACAATGACAGAAATAGCGTAGAAAACAAAACAAGCATCACACTTACAAGATGTGGCGCGTCGATCCTATTCATCAGTTCGATTGGTCGCTAAAAATTAACTATTACATTGAAACAACATCAAGTTTACGCACGTCTAGACAGAAAGAAGATGGAGATTCGGTTACACGATAATGACCGACAATAAGTAAAACAAAGAAATGTCCAGAAAACTACTATTGCATTTCACAATGGGCATACCAGGTTCATCATGATCAAATAAACACTAACACAAGACACAGTGGAACAAAGACTTGATATGGACAATGAATGAACTGCATTCCTAGGCCATGAATTAGCTACACATTTCATCTCGTGCTTACGCAGGTGCTTGTCTCCACTAAATGAGACGCCGTATGCTGCACGCTAACAAGCGGAAGTAGAGCTTGGCGGATGGTTCTGAGAGAAGGCAGAGCGCTGTAAACCCTAAACTCCAATAGTTTAACTCGCGCGACGCGACATATATTCTATTGTGTATCGAGTCCTTTATTATTTTTTAATGTAACAAATTATTGAATTAACACATTTATGTTACTTTATCCTTCATTGAAGTCTTGGTTTAGTTTTGATAATTTATTTTCAGGTGTTTTGATATCTTTCATATCTTTGTAATTTTTATACAGTAAATCTGTATGTATATAGAACTCGTGTTCATTACGAATTTATAAATTCCGTTGTTTCTTATTTGTAAGTATGTTATTGCAGGCCAGTGTTTAGACATTTTTGCGGTATGTACAGCTAGTGTGTAATGAATGGTAATTCAGCAGGAGAGTCTGTACACGAAAATATATGATCTGAATTAATGTGTACTGTTCTTTTTACTGTATCCAACTACTGTATTTTACAGTATAATCAATTTTTTTAACGTTCCAGAGAATTTTGATTAACTTTTTCTCAAATGTTAATGTTCATTACTACGTACACTAAATGCTGTATAATATCACAGTCGAAATAGTCAATTAACAGGAGATACTTCAACACCAGCGCTGCAATCACACATTTCGTTCCCGCGGTACTTGCTGCATTTAAGAATGAAATAATATTTTGATGCAGGGTCAAGTCATGGCCATGAGAATAACGTGGTCGCGTGTTTCTACGAGAGTTGGTCGGTCTACAGGCCCGAACTGGGACAATTCAACATCGATGACATCGACGCCAACCTCTGCACCCACATCAGCTTCTGTTACCTGGGCTTGAACGAACACACGTCAACCATCATGGAGATCGATGAATACGCTATTCAACAAGGTGTGGCTTCATTCATTCCTATAGGACAATGAAACGTTATATGTATGCAATGTTTGTTTTCTTTTTCAGTTCATATCTAAAATATCGATTTTATCTATCAATATCAGCACGTTTGCTCCCAACCTTAACTATACGATTCATATATTTGGTCACGCTTGTCATCAGAATGATACGGATAAGCCCTGTTCTTCAGCTTAACTAAATTTGTTCCTGCCTGTCATGTTCCTAAATCAGGAGCCTTGCAGAAGCTGGTGGCGCTGAAGGAAAAGAATCCCTCGCTGAAGGTGACGGCTGCTGTGGGTGGTTGGACGGAGGGCTCGTCTAAGTACTCTGCTATGGTGGCCTCTCCGGGCAAGAGGCAAACTTTCATCACATCCGTGATCGATTATCTTCAGTGAGAATATAGTTTTATTATATTATGTTCTACCATACTGATATTATCTCTGTTTGCTTCCAAGTCACATGTGTCGTATATGGACTATACTTCTTTTTTTGAGAGTTGTATCTCGAAGCGTATTCAAATAATCCATTTACGTATCACTGTGAATTTTGTTTTTGCATCTTGCTGTATACCATTATATGTTTGGCTTCCTTATCTTCTATTTCCTTTTGTTCATCTGACTAGCTTATTTCCGAAATTTCATAATACATGGAAGACATGATATGACCCGATACGTTAAGAACTTCATAACTAAGACAATTAAGGGAGTATCTGCCTTCACTAATTTGATTGTCATTGCTTCATGTAGCAGCATCGATAAAAAATTATTATATATTATATGGCATCATTATATTATATCATTAAATGTTGCTGGACTCGTTCAGACTTCACAAGCTGGATGGCCTGGACATATCATGGCAGGACCCTGGGGTGCGTGGAGGCACCGACCGAGACAAGAAGAACCTGGTGCTGCTGTGCCAGGCAAGAGTCGAGTAACGCGACCTGTACCATTCAAGAAAAATAATTTGTCGCATTAATTTTTAATCTAATCTATCATATTAATTTTTAATCTAATCTGTCACATTAATTTTTAATCTAATCTGTCAGATTAATTTTCGATCTCTATATCAGTAAATCAGTAAAGCCATTATTATCCGATTACGATTCTAGTAGCTGCTCTGGTGTGTTTTCGAGATATTTCGCCGGTATATTTACCGGACCTGATTGTTCCTTTTATCCGAAAGACACCATATAATCCTTGGTTTTTCAGGAGCTGAAGGCAGCGACTTCCTCTCTAGGGTACCAAGTGAGTGTCGTGGTCAGCCCATTCAGCTACATCATCGATGGGGGCTACGATGTCGCCAGGCTCGCCAATACTGTCGGTTAGTTCTTGTATTTTATTATAAATTATTTCTCTGATTCAGGCAGGAAGAGAATTTGTAAATACAATGACAGCTTGCTCAAATAAACGGAAGAATTAGCCGGTGAAAAATTTTCTTCAGCTGTTTTTGCTACGATTTGTATCACTTACTAATAAGGCACCGACTGCATCTTGGTTCATTATACAAGTGAATAAAATTATAGCCTATGCTTCACCACTAAATCAAATAAAATATTTTTAAGTTACCGTAGTAATTCAGCGCATATATTTAGTACAGGTACTTAAGATAGTGCAAGATATAGTATGTCTAATTGTTCAATTACTGAACTAATGAATAACTGCAAGATGTTCACAATACGCAGACCTGATCTACCTGGCGGCGTACGACTATCACGGCAAGTGGGACGGAGTTACGGGGCACCCGGCGCCCCTTTACCCTCGCGCCTCTGAGGGGGCTGAAGACCAGCACCACAACGTCGTGAGTCTCAGCTGCCTCCCCACCCCTCTCCTCGCTTCCACATAGGGGCAGTTATAGCAGAACTCGATTAAAGAACACGTAGCGGCCGGTTTCTCGTTTGTGATTGGTTGGTTCAGCATGAAAAACCCTTAGAGATTGGTTGATAGCTCTATTAACGAACTCCTAACTCTTTTGTTAGTCCAGCCTCAGGTCTTATTGTTGAGTTATAATGGATTTATGCGTGCTTCCTTCTGTCCCTGATCTATAGCATGTTTATCCATCACTGCTCAGAAGATTAATTCGAAGCTTTCTGAAATAATTGCGACGACAACTTCTCTTTTAATCAGCAGATGAAAACGGTAGCATCCGTATAGATAAAAAGTGCTATTTGAAACATTACATAGGCTTTCAAATAATGTTTCAGAGATTATTCTTGCCAGTTATGTAGTTAAATTCTTGCCAGAATTTATGTAATTAGCTAGGGCTGGCAGAAATATATAGTTACGCAGTCATTGCAAAACAGCGTGTGCATTTTTCCCTCCAGCCTGCGCATGTTCTTTACTTTAAAATATCGCTTGGTTGACACTTTGAAATTGATTGTTTTTTCTAGAACGGATCTGTGTCGTACGTGCTGTCGAAGGGTGTCCCGCCTAAGATGTTAGTTCTTGGTCTACCGTTCTTCGGACGAGCCTTCTTCCTGCGCGACGTCGATAAGAACTCCATTGGCTCCCCTAGTCTACAGGATGGCTACCAAGGACCGTACACGCAGGAGGATGGCTTTCTCGGCTACAATGAGGTAGAAAATTGAGCAGAATATTGATTCGGAGAGAAAAAAGTGGTAGCGTTCGTTTTAGAAAAACTGATAGTTGGATTACAATGGTATAAAATCTTTTTGATGTGTAATATAATTCGTCCGATTGGGTTGTCTCCGTTTCGAGAAAGTTTTTGCTCAACGTTCATTCAAGATTCGTATTGAGGTTGAGATCCTGATAATTGAAAAGTGTTTCGTTGTAATGTTTCAATTACTCTATTAACATGCAGCTATAAATTCAGAATAGACAATGAACCAAATTTCTCTCTATTATTTCGAACTTTCGACCGTCGATCAATGGACATGAACTGATTTCAGATAGATGGGTAAGCAGACACAAACCCCGGAAAATGGGACGGTGAGAGCAATAATAGGTTGATATTTTATTTCGGGTGATAATTATTTCATTGGTATTATCAGAGTTGAGTTTCAGCCATTAAGTCAAGTTAATTGAATGGAATTACCCCATCGCAATTCAGATTCTGACTGAACTTCACCGTCTAGCCACGAACAGCCAACCAAATTTATATTTTAGCCTTGTACATGGAACGGTAGAAAATCCATTTCCTCGTACTTCTGTCCACATTAAAACAGGTTATACGAGAGTACCATTTTATTTGAAAACTTCTAATACTAACATGTTACCATTTAATCCACGAATAAAAGTCGTAAATTGCTTGGAAAATTGTCTCTGAATTACAACAGATATGCGAGAAGCTGATAACGGAAGGCATCCTCTGGACCGAGCGTCGACATCCGGAGCACCAGGTTCCGTACGTCTACCGAAACAATGTCTGGATCGGCTATGACGACGTCGTGTCACTCTCTGACAAGGTGATGTCACATAAAAATTTAATTTCACGCATGCACATTCATGGATGCAAAATAGCATCTGCTTTTCATAGTTTTTATTCGTAGTGAGATGATCCATAGAGCTTTGTCCCAATTATCGATTAAAGATCGAGAAAGTTTTCAACTTTCAGTGGATATGTGGAGCGAAATCGAGACAAGCAGAAACGTCCCGGAAAGAATATAAGTGTAGTAATTCACTTGGGTTCTCTACATCAGCTTTGGCACATCACAGGAGATAGATCACGAGTTCCCACATAATCTTTAATACAGCAGCAGCAGCAAACAGTATGTACAAATGAGGTATTGGAGGAGACTTCCGACAAGGATGAGATCGTAAAGTCAACAACCTTAATATCTAAAATAGCTCGTCCCTAGTAAGTCCCGTCCGTAATAAATTTAGGTCCGTAATGTCGGGATAACCGCTATTTTGTAGTATAAATGACTAAATCCTTACAATGAGCTTTGCTATTTCTCGGTAATGCACATCTATTTATGTTTACATCGTTTTATCGTTATTTCGAGTTATACCCGTTAAACCTTACTCGGAAATTTGAAATTTTAATAACTCAATATTTTTTGATCAAATTGTCATTTTTAAGCATTAAGCCGTCACTCGATGCATAATTTTGCTAATTCTCAACATGACCACAAACTAGAAAGACCAGAGAAAGCCGCTGTCAGGTGACACATGGACAATGCTAGTGACTTTACGACAACTTGAGCTCGTGCTGAATGAGAACTAACAATGTTGTGACCGATTATTTAAATTGCATCAAATATGGTGCATTATTAAACGAATACTGAACAGTAACATTATTCTGCCAGCCCCACATCTCCATGTCTACTCTTGATTGTAACAGTCAAGTTGTGTTCTCGCCGAATGCGTCAAACTGCCTAATAATAATTAAAGACTGTCGGTAACTTTTTGATCCTTGAGTCTGGAACGTGTAATTTTGTATCGCATTGTACTTTGATACTTCATATTACCCAGAATCTTTGTTGTATGTCTCGTTTTATTCTCGTCTCAATCTTTCTGGTATGTCTCAAGATTACACAGCCCAATCTGACATCTCTTCTTAGTTCTATCAGTCTCTACTCTTGAGTTTGAAATTATTTCACGAGATTTCAGCGGCTTTTTATTTCTTCTCACCCTCCTGGACCTGATATGAAAGTCTGCAAAAGAACATAGGACTATAGCCTTCCCTATTAGGGACTATGTATCTTCCTAAATTATCTTAACCAGAGACTTCATTTGCCATTAGACTTGGTATGCCGACTAATCAGTCGATATAAATATTAACCAGTCGGTATGAATGGTAAAGTGAACATCGTGGAAATGATAGACGCACCCTATGCCGATGGCTATATGCAGTCTTGACCTCTGTGTTTGTTAGTGACATGTTATTTTATATATTTTTCTTCGGCGTTCTATAATTACAGATAAATAAATCGATTAGCACCAGGAGTTTCAGAATTTAGCTTCACAGAATCAACTCAGTGAAAGAATAGCACAATAAACTGCAGCCAGTGCCGTGGCTCACTTTGGCAATTCGCGGGGAATAGCATGCTGAAGTAAAAGATTAAGATATGATTATTGTTAACATGTGTTGCGAATGAAGAGCAAATCTAAATAACCGTGTTAGGCGACCATCACATAAATAAATGTTCTGTTTCAGATAAAGCTGGCTAAAGATTTTGGCTTGAGAGGAGTGTACGCGTGGGCCGTGGACACGGACGACTTCAGAGGGCGCTGCGGCAACGGAAAGTTCCCTCTTTTGACGCATGTCAATGAGATTATGAAAGACGACAGCAAAAGTGGTGAGTTTTTGTAGTATCTTACTACTCCATATTGACGAAGAATTTTGCTTATGGCTGATTTCCATTCAGAATAATATGAAAATAAATGATTATATCATTGTTGGAATTACAGGACATTCGAATTGGCCGAGGTAGTGTCATGATACTTTTTCGTGCCGGGCCATCAAAAATGTTTTTCTTCGACTTTATCGTGCTCCATCCTCCTGAACTGAAAAACGATGCTTCGAATCTAACAATAACGTGTTTCTAATAATGCGTAGATAAGTTTCATGTTACTCGGCACTATTAAGACATTTGATTTGAATGACAAAAATTCACGGGCTTTACTCACACTCATATACTACAGAAGTTCGGCATTGCTATTTTTTATGTCTTATTAGCAATTCAAGAGACTGGTAACTCTAAGCTAAAAACAGCCCAAAATTAAGAGAAAAAGTAATTGATCAATCGCATTCGTACGTACCATATAACTATCGTGCCTGCGTCATTTCTATACCCCTCACATTATAATGAATAGGATTAACGTGGCTGGAAAAGGATTATTAACGTTGCGGAGAATTCGAAATAAAGAGAATGTTGCCAACAAACCTTGCCCGGAAATAGTGGCGAAAAACTTTAAATTTCAGAAAGCGAATTTTAAAGCAAGAAAGATAAAATAAAATGCAACTTCAGAAGAACAGAAATAGCTGTGAAAATAAGTTTTTTTTCAATTCTGTTATCCATTAATATCTATTTGAGTTTTATTCGGCAAGCATTTTCCAAGTTATTGGAAGATTAGTCGGTTCAATCGATGTTTTTGTCTACAGCTAAAAATATTTCTTTCGTTTGCTGTGCGATCAAAGTGATCAAATTTCTAATCATCTGCATGCAGGGAGTTACGGAAGCTTGGGCGAAGCGTCTTTGTAGCTCCACAATCTACATATACCTATATAGGTTACAAATAGCTGATTAAAAATGGTCAGAAATTGTCACAAATAATTGTAAGACTAACCTCGCAAATGGTATTCAGCGAACAAGTTGCCGAGTAAGCGACCGCCAGTGGTGGCGTGCTTCTTCGCGAGTTGGTCCGTGTACCGCTCTTCCTTGGGCAAGTTCGACATCTCGCTTGTGGACGGCAACCTGTGCACGCACCTTGTCTTTTGCTTCGCTGGACTGGACAAGGAAACTCTAACTATCACTGACCTCGACAAGGATTTTGTTCAGAAAAGAGGTGAATGGTTAAGACACCAGAAGCTCTTATTGAGATTCCTGTTGTTTTGGTTCAAGTTGAATAGCTAATAACTTGGATAATTATTTGCCAATACAATTATATACATACATAAATGTGGGTTTGCAACGGATGTTAGAAACATAAATAGCATCTAGAGCATGTTTAGAATTTTTCGACTGCGTATGAGTTGTCTTTTTAAACGTATTAAGAAATATTAATTTATGCACAGATATGGAATGTTTTAACTGAGTGTTTGTAAAATGTGTGAAAAAACTGCTACTTAACGCATTGTATTCATTCATTGTATTCAAATTCATATATATATGATAGTTAATCATCGTATTGGGTTTGATGAAATCGTTATTGTGTGGTAAATCCTTCTTTCGCAGGTGCCTACGCACAAATGCAGCTCGTGAAGCGCACCAGCCCAGATCTCAAATTGACGGTCGCCATCGGCGGCTGGACTGAGCGGTCCGAAAAATTTTCCAAGATGGCCGCCTCACCATCGTTGAGGAAAACCTTCATCGATTCTGTCCTCGAGTACCTCGAGTGTGTGCTGTTACAGCCTCCTAGTTTGCTAACTATGAAGCTGGAGGAGAGCAACATTTATTGTATTGATTGGAGTGAAATTTGTTGACCAAATTTTTGTGTATTTCTACTTTTTGTTTCTTTTAAATGACACACAAAAGGAAAAGCATTCGTACCTCATTATTTATGGTTATTTGATTTTATTTTGAAGGTAATATAATTATGGCGGTCAAATTAATTGGGTAAGTGACATAACTGCATGATTCTCATATATCTATTTATTTTCAACCGGAGATTCCGGCATCATTCATATCCTGGTAATTCCTGACATTTTTCATGTCAGCTGTTCATTGAGACTAATTCAGAGCACTCACTTATCAATTCAAGCGATAAAGACTCTTCCATAAAATGCCATGATTTCCGCAAAACTTGAAAAACATAGAAAAAAATTAAATCTTCTTGCGAATTCAACGTTCAAGTCTGCAATTAACACAATATTTAAAATAAGACAGAAAACCTTTGCGCGTTCATTTTTATCTCTATCACTCCTGACGAGATAAAATTGCACAGGAGCAACTCGCTGGATGGCGTGGATATGGTATGGCAAGATCCCGTATTGCAAGATCGCGGTGGCCAGACAGGGGACAAAGAAAACTACGTCATTCTCTTGCAGGTCTAATTTCGAGCTCGTGTTAATTGCTGTAAGAAGTATGAACTTTCTCATATTCACTAATTCACTTCGCTCTAACTTGAACATATCTCAGATTTGGCAAAAAGTACTCTAGAACTTCTCAAAGTTTGTCCCTTCATCAAATCCCGCAAATCGTTAACTGAAATGACTCATAAAGTAAGCAGTTATCAATTTAATATTACTATTGACTCGTTAGTTAACGTTAAAATATTTTACCGCTTTCTGTCCCTTACACCTTGCGCACAAAAATTAGTTATCTACTAATCTACTTCAACGAGTCCTTGCCGTGGTTGACTTCTCGTTTATTTGCCCTCAGCGTTACCCCTACCCGTAGTGCCCATTTGATTGATCACGAGATTTTTTATATGACTGAGTATTAATCTTATAGTGTCAGCAGCACCCCTCATGATGAGTAGAGTATTACCTTGCAATATATCACCAGGAGATGGCAGCAGCGTTCGCAGGTCAAGGCTACCATCTGGGCGCTACTGTGAGCGCGAGTGAAGAGGTTCTCGATGCTTCTTATGACCTTTCAGGCATCGCTGCGGCTGTGGGTGAGAATTCGCTAATTATAATTCATTTTGGCACTAAATCAGTTTAACAACACTATAGATCTAACTAACTTATAGAGTTAGCAACTATATTCTAATCTGTGCATTTCATTTCTATTTTTCAGGACACATTATTTAAAAATATAAATAATGCAAAATACGCTTCAAAAATTTTACATATATATTACATTTAGTTTTCACTTCATGTGTTTTTCATGGTGGTGCAACATATTTAGAAGTCCATATTTTTGAACTGTGACATGAATTCTTTAAAGAATATCTTTCGTATATTTTCTGCATTTCGCCTTTATGTGCATCACCAGATATCTCTGAATAGATATTGCTAGTAAATATTGTGTACGATGGCATTCTAAATTTATCATAATATTTAGTCGTCTTCTTGAAGCATTAAGTAATTAGGTTAGCACTTGAAATTACGCGAAAGGAGAAGGTGCGGTCTGCACGTTATAAAAACCCATTACAGCGTTATAATCGTTTAGGTACAATAGCCGACAAGGGTTAATTGAGTGATTTCATTTTTTTCGATGGCGTTGCAATTTTCAGGTCTGTTTTTGTTTTTTTGGTTCAATGCACTGAGGATTACAAATGACGTAACGGGCGTCATAATAGGCGCTACTTAAGTTAAGGGAGCCCAAAGTCAATCCTTCAATGATAGAACACAAGATATCTCTGTTGGATGGTTTAATGCGGCAGATTAATGGTGAACTCCTACTTGAATGAACACATTTTGATTTTGTAGACTTAAAACTACTTCTCCAAGTAGTTAGAACTTTTTGCACCAGAGTATAACAAAATTGTCCTAAAATATGAGCTATGACGTTTGCTATGTCGTTCAGTCCTCTTTTATGTGTGTCTTCAGACATTGTGCACTTGATCGCCTACAATTACCATGGGTCATGGAACCAAAAGACGGGCCATGCTGCCCCGCTCTACCCTCGCAACGATGAGACGGGCGCTGAACGCACCAAGAATGTCGTAAGAGAACTCAAAATTTATTTCATGAAGAGAAATCATTTGCTAACACCTATATCATAGCAATGGCACTTTCCTTGTCTTCCCAGTGGAACGCAATTCCTCTCAGTTTTGTGAATTATAATCATGAACCTCATGTTCTCCACATTGTTACATTAAACAAGTGGACGATACCTACCGTATTTTATTCAATACGGTCTTGCTTCCAGGACTACACAATAAAGCTGCTGCTGAGTAGAGGGGTGCCTCCTGCAAAGCTATCGGTGATGCTGCCGTTCTTTGCCCGCACTTTCTTGCTGAAAGACATTGAACGCAACAACTTCGGTGACCCTGCCTTTTCTGTTGGGTTCAAAGGACCCTACACCGGGGAGAACGGCTGGATGGGCTTCAATGAGGTTATTGTTTGATTTAGGAATTCTAATGTCGTGAAATTAATCATAATAATTTCATCTCTCACATATTATTTCAATCAACCTTTTAAAAAATATACGAATAGAAGCTTGATAAGCAAGACCTAATGTAGTTCTGCTTGATACTGTTTCCAACTCGAAAAATTGCCTATATTGTACTGGAACTGTTGCCTATATTGTACTGTATAGTGGAAACCATTCAGGACATTTTTAATAGAATTCATTATTGATCATTCTCTCGTGTTATAGTTTCCTACCACGCCGCTCCATAAATACTGCTTATTTTATTTTTTAAGATCTGCGAAATGTACAATGATGAGGCACCAATTTGGACTGTGAAGCGGCAGGCCGAACATCGAGTGCCGTACATGTACAACGAAGAACTATGGTTCGGCTACGACAACGTGTCTGAAATTGAGGAGAGGGTACGTCGTCGATGTTGGTCTGCGTTTTCGAAATTTGTTTAAACAAATGATAAATGAAATGAATTATTGCAAAGGATTTGTTTATAAAATTATTCGGTCTTTAATGATATCTCATTATGCTTTAGACGCAATTGAGAATTGGACGCAATTGAGAATTGGAGCATGACAATCTCGGTCAAGTGCATGAATGATTTCTAAGATCAAAGAATTTCCTTTGAAAAGTATACTTTTTGAATTACAAATAAATCTATTTCAATGTAAACGAAGTTACGATGGATGCCCATAGATATGTCATGCGTACCGCTAGCCATTCAATTCACGTTCACATTTGATTAAGACACTCACCACTGCAGGAGTTACTCAGCCTTTCAACTGTCAGGTGCGGCATGCGTTGAGCTATGGTATCGACGCCATCGGCATGTGGACGATCGACACTGACGACTTTACTGGCAACTGCGGTCAGGGAAAATACCCTCTGTTGAATGCCATCAACAGGATCCTCAGGTCTCCGGCTGCTTCGCCTCCTGATGCCACGCCACCACCATTCTCCCCTCCGGCTAATACGACTGGTGAGCAATACACAAAAACCTAGCAGTTATAATTATGTGTTCATTTTGTTCGGTACTAGTATTTCTAATGGTATTAAATTTGGAATGAAATAATTATATTACGGCATACTCGTATTGTTATTGTGTAGTACTCTGTCCGAAAATTTTTTACTACTGTGAGTGATGAGTGTTGGGAAATAGGGGCCGACAATAGTTTTCTATCTACGTAGCTGGATAACAAGTTCTTAATTGTAGTGTCTGGCATTTTGGTCTGCAAACTGGTTATTAATTCTAATTATTGAATGTAATTCGCGCATGGTGGAATATACGTTATTATGAGTTCTGGTTGAGTGTCTATTGTAACTAAAAGCCTATGTCAGGGTGGAAGTTGTCGTGAAGTTTCTGCGTTTGATGGCATTTGTTGCCATTGCAGCACCAGCGTTTAGCTTGCAGTTTTGTCATAGCTGTAAATTTTGTAATTGCATATCTTGCATTGGCAATGTTATGTAAGTTAATTATTATCGTCTTACCAGACTTTGAAGCCGCTAAAAAGTTCAATTGGTATCGTTTCGTCCCTGACAGGTACAGATACAGGTATGTAAACTTTCCGTATAACTTCTTATTTTTCTTCCGTCGTAGTCTTCGTTGTAAGCCACTGTCACCAGTATTGTAGGACCATTCTAATAAAAGTTTCATCTTTTTTCTGCTAAGTTCAGTGAATATCGTCTCACAACGCCGTCAAATTCGGTTCTGAGTACGTGCACAAATAATTCGCAGTACGTGCAAATAAAGCGCGAAATAGTTCGCAGTACGTGCAAAGATAATTAGTCATATTAGGAATAGTTTAAATTTACCATTAAGGCGTAATTTGTACTTGTATGAATTCTTAATCATTCTTCGACATTCACAGGCTTACGTTGCTCTATCTCACCTGAGCGTGACGTCACCATCGGCATTATCGCCTGCGCCGACCGTCAAGATTTGTGAGTTTATTCAGTCGAAATGTTCAACGTTAGCAAATAAGCCTAATGAACTTAATATGATAATATAAGGTCCATTATTTCAGAGTTATTTTGTCTCATGAACTCCCAATCAGTTTTGAATTTGCAATTTTTCATATGCTGCAAACATTGCGATAATATCATACCATATATTGAATCAAATTTCAATTATAATTAAAGCTTACTTGACGGTCTACTAACTAATATATATTATTACAATGAAACTCCCTGATACAATAGCTTTGCTATTGCCCAGTGTTTGAGAATAACAACTTTCAGAGTATTTGTCATCTACCTTGATTTCGCAAACGCATTTCATTGCAACTTATTTTAAGACTAATTTCGAAGCTTATAATACTTTCATTAAACATTAAATTATGAAGTTGAAACATGATTTGTGGTGCTCAAATATTATTTAGGCTCTAAACTTTGCAACCGTTGTATGCCATGATGGTCTTTCATACTTTATAAAGTATTATTATATTATTTTCATGCACTCGATTTTAGACTACGTTTATGAAATTAAAATATTTTCTATGAAAATATTTCTTCGAACTCGAAGGAAGACTTCTACATTAATTTCCATCGAGCAGGGGATGTGCGGAAGGTCACTCAGTACCGCCTGGCACTGTGGTGCTTGCTGTGTGCTGGGAGACTGTGGAGCTGGTGATGAGGTAAGCCAACGACCTCGAGACTGTAGAGCTGGTGCATGATGATGTAGGCCAACGTGCTGGGAGACTATATGAGCTGGTGATGAGGTAAGCCAACGCGATGGGAGACTGTAGAGCTGGTGATGAGGTAAGCAAATGTGTTGGAGACTGTAGAGCTGGTGATGAGGTACGACAACGTACTGGGAGACTGTAGAGCTGGTGATGAAGTAAGCCAACGTGCTGGGAGACTGTATGAGCTGGTGATGAAGTAAGCCAACGTGCTGGGAGACTGTATGAGCTGGTGATGAGATAAGCCAACGTGCTGGGAGACTGTAGAGCTGGTGATGAGGTAAGCCAATGTGTTGGAGACTGTAGAGCTGATGATGAGGTAAGCCAACGTACTGGGAGACTGTAGAGCTGGTGATGATGTAGGCCATCGTGATGGAGACTGTGGAGCAGGTGATGAGGTAAGCCGCCAATGTGCTGGAGAATGTAGAGCTGGTGATGAGGTAAGCCAACGTGCTGGGAGACTGTAGAGCTGATGATGAGGTAAGCCAACGTGCTGGGAGACTGTAGAGCTGTATGAGATGGTGATGAGGTAACCCAACGTGCTGGGAGACTGTAGAGCTGATGATGAGGTAAGCCAACGTGCTGGGAGACTGTAGAGCTTGTGATGAGGTATACCAACGTGCTAGGAGACTGTAGAGCTGGTTCTGAGGTAGGCTAACGTGCTAAGAGACGGTAGAGCTGGTGATGAGGTAAGCCGCCAATGTGCTGGAGCATGTAGAGCTGGTGATGAGGTAAGCCAACGTGCTGGGAGACGGTAAAGCTGGTGATGAGGTAAGCCGCCAATGTGCTGGAGAATGTAGAGCTGGTGATGAGGTAAGCCAACGTTGTGGCAGAACCTGACATCAGTGGATCTATCACCTACTCGTGCTGTTTCTTCCTCAACTCTTCAGATGCCAAAGATGTTTTAGAAGAAGAAAACCAGATGTTACTATGATTATTCCTCTGTTCGAAAGTTTATATATCTTACAAGGAAATAAGACTGAGACCATTAATGTCCCCATACACGGTTGGTAGTTCCGAAGTTTCTGATAATCATGTTTTCTTTGCATTTGTTTTTGAAAGGTTTGGCTTTCATTGTGTATATAAATAATACTGATTTATATGATATTGTTTAACAATTGAACATTTACGGCATCTAATATTTTAAGCGATATTCTGTACTTGACGACTCAGATGTCACGGCGATGGTGTGTGGCGGCAGTACGGAGATGCTGAGGACGCTACAGAACGAAAGATGGCCGTTCTCTGCCAGCCGTACTACCTCAACTCCGAAAGTAAGACTACCACAAAACGATGGATCCTATCCATCCTATTTGATCAAAATGCAAAAAAGAAATAATTTGTTGGCTAATGGTTGTGGGTCCCGATGGTAAAGTATATGTTAGCATACCTAATAAATGATGCTTCATTCGATCAAATTTTAAGGTGGTGATGATCTTATTTAATCAATTCTATTGAGCCCAAAATTTTTAAATCTGCTCACTAACTGATAATTTTTCGTCATAGTTTCGTTTTCTCGTCAAATTTTTCGTCTCTTCTGCTGTATGACCGTTAGCAAAGTATTAACCGACATTCCTCGCTCAAACTCCATTCCACTCTATTACTTCATTTTCGATATATTATTCAAATTTTTCATAATTAAATCAAGTCGCTCCATTCGACAAATTTTCTCTGAACTTCATAATGGCGAGAATCAATATTATTGCCTAATTTCATTACTTTTACTGTAGCCATACTGCCTGCATAGCTCATTTTTTCCATTTGTCATGCATTCAAGGTGCGATTAATAAATAGATGGCATCCTAAGTAGGGCCCGCGCGTGTCACATGCCGCTCTTTGGAATGTATTATTTGGCCCGCACGCATATGTAAGAAACGGGCCTAGCTAGGTAGATTATAATCTTCTCTTTTGATTTTATTTCTTGACAGTTTTAACAAGCTTGGTGTTTTTTTACACTATTTAATTCGAATTGAGAGATAGTAACATGTTTACAGGCCCAATATTCCAAGAACAATCTTGAATATATCACGAAATTAACAACTGTTTTCAGTTCAGATTCAATTGGCAATGTAAATAGTATTTACAATTAAATAATACTTTCTCAAATCACAATTTGTTACTGAAATATAACAATGCATAAACGAGGCCCTTTGATAAAAATATCGTTTGTAATGTAGAAAAAGTTAACCGATATTTTTTCCAAACGGAAAGTCTTGCCCTGACCACACCCAACTTCCGCCAGTTTGTGGACGCCGGCCGCGGTACCAAAGTTCAGGCTCGTTGCTTTACCTGGACCAGTTCTTCACGCTTCAGAACCGATGGCCGTGGGTTGCAGGACTGCTACGAGATAGTATCTACGTATGCAGCGCTACGGTCATTACTCCCGTGTTCCTGCTGACGGCTGCACACTGTGTAACAAGGTGTATTGAGTGCTGCGCACTGTGCCAGTTATCATTAATATAACGCCTAATATAAAGTGTTTATATGTATCTTGTAGAGGACCTAGCTTGTACCGAAGTTTTTTTTTAAATCATTGGCAAAACGCGGCGTTAAAATTCAACTTTGTTTAATGCTATGAACTCAATCATTGTCTCTATGACATCGTCAATAATTTCCCAAAGAGATGCGTATTTTCATTACACCGGCAATGTATTTTATCATCATTTCGTACAAAACTATGAGCATTTACTCTCCCCAATTTCAAGTTATTTTCTACAATATCAGTGTTCTTAGTTCCAACTGCAGCTATGTTGTAAGTTTAGCTGTCTTCCGAAAAAAAAACTAAAAAAATCTGGTCCATTCTCGGTCTAGAACTCAAGAGGGCAACCAAGCTATGGACGTTCGGGACCTCAAGATTCAACTGTCACGCACCCTCGTCAGAAGGGTGAGACTCAGTCATTTACAAGTATTATGTTATTCAGTTAATAAAAGTTTACCATTATTGAAGGATATTTAATTATGTTTTAAATTAATCTAACATGCATGCACGTGAAGCACGGAATCAAATCGATAATTTTAGTTCATTTTTAATTGTTCATTTGTCCAGAATTCTGTTCCGTACTCTGGATACTTGGGCAGTCACTCGAGCAGGACCAAATCTAGGCTGTGATTATTTCAGTCTCATTATCAGAAGTTTCTAATAACTTGAACTTTTATGTGAATATACAAATTAGAAGTGGAAAGTTTCGCATGGAACACGTTTCTGTCGGCGACAGGCCGCATCAGGCCCATTCGTCAGCGCCGACATCACATATGCTATGAATTGAATCATTAAACGTTTTGATAGATCAAAGTACCAGGGTAAAAATGTCTATCTACCAGCGTAACGGGAGGAAAATTCTTCCTATTTCCTCATTGTTTTGTTTTATGACTAAATTATAGTTAGCCGTTTAGTTACCAGTCAGCTAAGCATAAACGCGGCTTTACAAGAAACGGTACCATTAGAATATACAATGTTGTTTTCTTTCCTTTATTATTTATAGAGCTGTTGCTGATTTACATGTGCAGAAATGAGCGCGCACATATGCTTATAGTATACTTTTATGTACGAGTACACTTCATTTCACATACCTCTTTTAGGGGGCCTAAAACCCCCTAAAATGGCCCCAATCACGGCATTTGCAGAAAGATTTCGCGTTGTCGCTGTAACCTGCTCTGTCTTTGTTGTTTCTGCTGTTGACTACTCGGGTCACTGCTCCGGTCACTGCTCTGAATTTCAACTCTATGAACTCTGCTCGTGACAGGTGATCGACATCCGCCTGCACCCCGAGTATCAGGCGGGCAAGAGCCCCGTCAACGACATCGCGCTCATCCAACTCGAGTTTCCTCTCAAGTTCCACTCGAAGTTGTATCCTGCGTGTGTTGGCACCTACGAACAAAATCCTGCAATTGATGCAGTTGTGAGTCAAGAATCTCAATGCGCAACTAATTTAATGCAGTGATGATGCTCTTATATGTAGATGAGGTTTTTATGTGTACCACCTTGGATCAATAGTGCCTTCCTGATTTTTTTTTAATTCAAAGTTGAATAACACAACTTTTGTCGAGATATCGACATAAGTCATCGTTAGACCCTGTGTTAGTGCATATAAGTTTGCGGTCTATGTTTTAATATGATTATATCTTTGATGAAGACTTAATTCGCGAGCCACTAGCTAGTAGCTACTCGTAAACAACAAAATCCTTCTATTATATTTTTTCGACCATGATAGATCGATTAAATACTGAGTCATTAGGGGTTGTGCAATTAACGAAATTTGGAAAATGTTTTTAATTTTGTAATGTGCATCAATTCTATCGATTAATATATATATTTTTTCATTTTATCGCGAAGATTAATCAACCTAAATATATCATATAACTGGTACTATTAGTTTTTTAACTTGTAGAGTTTCCTATATTTCTAATAAATTATCCAAAATTCTTTTACTCATAATGCGATTTGTAATATATATTATTCGATATTATTTACTATATTTGTAATTGTAATGTGCATTAACGTTAATAATTTTGTAATGTGCATTGACTCATCAGACATTCAACCGCTCGCACGGCACCGGCAGCTACAAATACGACCTTCTGCTGCAGCGCATCGTGCCGGACTGCCGGGGGTCGAGCGAGCGTTGCTCCGCAGACTTCATCTTGCGGCCCTCACAGTTCTGCGGCGCCAGCATAGGTCGGGTCCTCATATGCCATCTCACGTCAAAATAACGTTAATTTAATCTTGTTTCAATCGAATTAACTCGCAATGATGGTTTTTCCAACGTCATTTGCCTGTATTTCTTACTGCTTGAAGTGACGAGGTCGAATGGATAAGCTGATACGTTATTGGCGCCATTATCTGGTGAAATTTTCAAAATTTAGAAATTTTTTTAATGAATTTACAGATTTTTGGCAGGGATTATAAATCAATAAAAGACGTAAGTATTTCAGTACTCGCGCGGTTTGAAGAATTCCTTGTCTATTCTAACCTGACCAAGATTCATGAATATATTTTACAGCATGCAGATTCAGTAGAGTGGTTCATAAATATTTTTTCTCCATTCTTTTTGCCTGTTTTAGTACTCATTATCAAACTTTCGTACCTTCATTAACTTTGGTTTCAATGCTATTCACCATGCACGAAGACAGTTTAGGGTGGAGGCTTCAAGTCATTCATCGTTTTAACAGTTCAACTCTTAACATCTGCGTTTTTATCACGCGTGAAGGATTCATTTTCATGCGGGATCATTCGATATTTTAGTTCAATATTGAAGCCATTTAATATTTTTTTAGTTTTATTAAACATTGATCGCATCGGAAACAAGCAGCATGCCCCCCACTCGTGTGCAGTGGTCTTATGATTTCAAGACGTTATTGAATACTGGAATTATCATATGTTTTTTATATTACAAATAGCACGAAAATTTTAATGGAAATTCGTGCTTACGTTTTTTTTTGCCCACAGAGAAAAGCGATGGAGTTCTAAGTGGCGGTTCATCAGGGGGCCCGTTTATTCAGAACCTCGTGAGCAGAGAAGTCATTGAGGCGTGGACAGTGACAGGCGTGACGTCATACATGTCAGAGGTTGCCGGATGCGCGACTCCACGCATGGTTTTTACTGCAGTCAACGTCTTCAGTAGTTGGATAACTGAAACTATCCAAGAACTATTGTTGTTACTAGACGAAATAGCTGAGAATGTTGACGGATAGATACGCTCATTTGCTTTTTACTCTGAATCAATAAAAATCAACATCATGAACGGTGCTTGTTTCCTTCAATGCTCTCTACACATGCTTTTATCTTTCTATTGCGCAATCCATTATTTCTAGTTTTTAATTCTAATTTATCAGCAATTTTCTCACCTAATCGAATTATTGTAATTAAGTAATTCTCAAAAGCTATATATTCAGAGGTGGGCAGTAGCGCGCTACATGTAGCGGCTACCCCTCCAGTGTTTTCTTCCTTGTTACTGAGAGGAGGTGGCACTTCTCGACGTTGAACGCCATCTGCCAAGTGCGCTCCAAGGCTTAATTCCAGCTTGTTGAGATCATCCTGCAGGAGAGCTACGTCATGTGGGCTTCTGATGCGAGAATAAAGCACGGTGTCGTCTGCGAAGAGTCCAGCCTTGGCTTGGATTCCGTGACATAGGTAGTTGATATGGATCAAGAAAAGGGTAGGCCCCAAAACGGAACCCTAAGGCACTCCTGACACGGCTGGCCCGATGCTGGAGCTCTCACCTTCTACAACGACTTGCTGGGTGCGGTCTGAGAGGAAGCTGGAAATCCATCTCCTGGTCATGCCCCTGACACCATAATAGTCCAGCTTGTTGAGTAAGCGCTGATGAGGGACCTTATCAAAAGCCTTGGAAAAATCGAGCAATGTTAGTGTTAATGTTTACAAAATATGACATTCCGATTCGGTATCCGGTTGATCAATATTTTTAAAATAACATTGAGGCTTTAGACCTTATATTTTCACACCTAAATGGAAATCTGGATCTAATGATTAGGGAATCAATGTTAAATGGCCAATTGCGATTGCGCAACATGGAATCATCCCAGGTTTAAACATGACCGATATTTTGTTCATTTTCACGCGAAGGATAATCAACCTATGTATATATATCATATAAGTGGTATTTTCTAGTAGGTTTTTAACTGGTAGAGTTTCCTACATTTCTAGTAGATTAACTAAAATTCTCTTACTCATTATGCGAGTATAAGAGTGAAAAATTAATCTGAAATAAATGTAGATACCATAAATATATTATAGGCATTCTAGGTTTTAATTTTTAAATTCACGCGTCCCTAGTATGAAGTTTCATTTGAAGGTTGCAAGTTATGCAAAATTGGTGTGAAATGCAGATTATAACGAATAAAAAGAGTGAATAATGTAGAGTGATTTAATTTCCAGAGGAGAGACATGCAGAGAAGATTAGCTTGTTCTGTTTACTTAATTGGTTAATAATTGGTTAATAATAATAATAATTGGTTAATAGAAATGGTTAATATTCTGGCTGTTTTCTTTGCTTTTAAATTCCTGTTTACTTCCATCTCGCGGTAGGATCGTGACGGATTTTTAATCTGGTAAAAGCAAATAATATATCTTATTCCCCACAAAATGAATAAATTGTTTTATTCACAATATAGATCCGCCCATATAAGCCAGCCATCCAGATCAGTGTGACGAACCCACCAAGTGCCGTCTTGGGTCACAAAATGATCATTTATACTAGCTTAATTAACTTCAAAGAAGCTGGTTGAAGGCCTGAAGTTTTACGATATGTTGATTATCAGGCATAGTCTAACGTAGGTGTGATGAAATTTAAATTGATTAATATTCTAAACACTTGAATTTTGTTAATTTTTCAAGGTTTAGAAGATACATAAAAATTATGCCACTAACCAAATATCGAAAATCGACGTTGATTCAATATCAAATTAAGCTCATCTCATGTCTCACTGATTAATGGTCACTTATTTACATCGATTAGATACTGATCTGGAGTTCATCGATCAGCATTAGAATTAGATCGACGTATTATATATGCTGATCGATATTATATATACGATCGACGTATTAGATCGACGATATTAAATGCTGATCTGAAGTTCATCGACGTCGTAATTGACGTTGTTTTCATTTTAGACGCCTGTCAGAGCAAGACGCTTAAATTGTAGGACTGCAGTTCCCGAACTTTTGAATATCGTTTGGTACTTGTATAATTTCTATGGATTGATGGAAGAAAATTTTTCATTTTTTGCCCTTTGTAAACATGTTATTTACTTGAGAAACGATTATTCAACAACTATGGTTGGAAAAATGTGACGAGTCTTCATGTTAATAACGTAATTTTGATCTTAATTTCATGATGCAGGCCAAAAAGTCAGATCGTCCGGTAAAAATAATCTGATAATATAAATTATTGTATATGTAGATTATATTATATTTGATAGTACAGTTTATTATGTATGATAATATATAATAAACTCTTTATTCGGCAGCGCTCCGCACGGATGACGATGAAGCTACAAGTTATGAGAAATACTGGGCCTAAAATTTCCGCCTTCAATAATTAAACTTTTCTTTGAATCTGCTTGCATTTGTTGCCAGTACAGAATTGGTTTGTTTAAACTATCACTAATGTCTATGAAGTTTGTCAGAGACAATTTTTTTTCTCCAGTGCTTCGTTAGTTTATGGATATGACTCGCGCCCATTCCTTAGGGGGAAGCGTATCTCCTGCATATAAATATTGTGCAGTGTTTCGTGTGAAGTATTTATGCACGAAGCAATTTTTGCGATCTATAACAATAATTTTCAATCGGTCATGTAACATTTTGTAGCCAGAAATTGTCCCTTAGACTGGGTTTTGACCAATAGTGTCAGTACATTGAAGAACAGTTTAGAATCGCTATCATAATTAGGTAGACTATTAAACTACAAAGATACTACTGAGAGGAGAGGGACTTCACTCTGTCCTGCCGAGACAAATAAATGACACAAATAAATACATGTCGAAATGAACAATACAGAAAGATAATTCAATAATCCAAAATACAATAATTCAAATGCACTTATTGAAGAGCATTAAGGGGAGCGTCTGGGTCAAAAACTAACTTTTTCATTTACGGACGGATTTCTTTGAAACTTGGTACACATATGTAAAACATAAATCTAAGACTTTTTTGTTCGTGTCAATTTTCCAAAAAAATTGATAGAAAACGTGAAATTCATAGAAAACGGCAAAAAAGGGGGTCCTCAAGAAATCTATCTCCTCCTAGGATTTTCAAGCTACAACATTGAGAGACATATCATTCGATGCGTAAAGACCATATCTATAACATTGCGTATACGTTTTTCGAAATTCTAATTTTTGTGGATGTGGGGTCATTTTTCGTAAAATTTTTTATTTTTCCCCCCTTCCCCCCCCCTTTTTGCCAAATATTTCTCAAACTATAACGAAATAACAAAAATTCATACGCAATTCTGTAGATCTCTCCTTTGCAAATCGAATGGTATATCTCTCAATACTGTAGCTTGAAAACTGTAGGAGGAGATAGGTTTTCCGTGACAATAAGTGTGAATGTTGAGGCGAGCGCGACAAAGTCCCGCGCGCACCACAATAAGCGCTCAATGTAGCATAGATTCCAAACTAAACGTTTCTGGAGCTTTATTCCACTCAAGGATGATGGGAGCAACTACATGCGCATCTCTCCCTACAAAGCCCGGAGGCACACTGAGTCAGACAGCAGCTAATTAGTTCCTATCTAATTACTTAAAGAACTCCCCCACCCGCCCCCCTTTCATGAAATGTCGTGAAATCATAAATCAACGTAGAGAGATGGCAGTGGTACCGTTGGATAGGGCAGAATGTCAGCTTTAAGGTGAGACTAAAAACCGGAAAAGACAAAATTGACGATTTTGGACCCAGACGCTCCCCTTAAACCATATTCACTCGTACCTGAGAATAGCGTACTGCAGCCTATAATAGCTCAGTCAGCCTCGCAGGGACACCAGAGACAAAGTACTCTAACTTCACTGTCTATAGGCCTTACAACAGGTACTATTCCGCGCAGTAGTGCGGATAACATTCTCACAAAAAACGTCATATTAGCATTATACCATACAATTTTATCGCACAATGAACTGCTTTTTATGCCATTTACTTGGGGCCGATGAACGTTCAAGGCCTGTTCAGGATGCAAACGTTCCACAGCAACTGATTTTTTTTACTTGAAAAATTCTTTCCATGTACGACAATTTGAAACTTGTGCGTGCAGCGAATGACAGTAACATTACTAGTAGAACAGGTTAGCAATTTTAAGCACTTCTAAACGAGGCTCACGTTTGATCATTAGCATACGCTCACTGCTACAAGCATGTCTTAGACAATTTTATGTCCGGACTCGAGGCCAATCTTTCGGCCGGTCTCCAAAACTTTACGCATACACAACGACCATGAAATATCTCCTAAACTAATGAGCGTAATTTAATTAAACTTTACACGTATGTCTTTTAGGACCTAACAGTGATGTCTAGCCCTTGTGAATTTTGTAGCCTCTACAATTTGTAGCCTATATACCGTTAAACTCTCAAAGATGTCGTCGATAAATATTACACAAATTTAACTGATACGAATTTAAGCATTCATTTCTGTACTTTATTTTATTCAAATCGAACAACACGAGCACTGCATAAATTACAGTCACTCCTATACTATTTTCCGCTATTTGGAGAGCGTCTCTCGTTTAAGATGTAATACTTGAATAACAAATGCCGCTCAATTTTGTTTATATGGATCTTCAACGGCGACAGACTCAGTCTCGGACAAATAAGAATCATAACACATTATTCATAACACAAGAGTTTAGTATATTCTCTTTTGACCAGAGTTGCAGTTTTGACGTCTCGGATAAATTTACGGCCGAACTCGCGCGGCCGGTCTCACGGCCAATCTCCAAATTCAATGACCAAGCAATATCTTCCAAACTAATGAACGCAGCTGATGAAACTTTGTACACGTATTCATTACGACCTATCGGTGATGTTCAGCTCGTAAAAATTTCCCCATTTCACCATCATTCGTGAGTTGTACGGCAATTCAAGCCGAAATTTGCAGTGACCAAGAAATTTCTTTTAAGCTACTGGGCAAATTTGAACGAAACTTTGAATATACTGTTTTAGCTCATGACAATTTTTTCGATTTTGCTTTCATTTTCGAGTTTTTTCCATTTCACCTTCATTCCCGAGTTATACAGCAATACGGGACGAAATTCGCAGTGACCAAGAAATTTCTCCTTAACTACTGAACAAATTTGAACGAAACTTTGAATATACAAACCAAACCTCCTAACGGTGATGTTTAGTTCATGACAATTTTTTTCGATTCCAGTTATACGGATGTACGGAGAAACGATCGGCATTTCTGAGGCCGATTTTTAAATTTGCATCGACAACGAGCCGTATACGTATAGCCGTATAACTCGCAAAAGAAGGCAAAATGAAAAAAAAATTGTCACGAGCTAAACATCAACGTTGGGAGGTTTGGTTTGTATATTCAAAGTTTCGTTCAAATCTGTTCAGTGGTTTAGAAGGAATTTCTTGGTCACTGAAAATTTCGGCACGAAATGCTTCAAGTGTGGGTGAAATGTAAAAATTCTCCATGAGCTAAACATCACCGTTAAGTCCTAATAAAAACATGTATCAAGTTTCATCGAGCTGCGCCCATTACTTTGGGAGATATTCCTTGGACACTGAATTTGGAGATTGGCCGTGAGACGCGGCCGAGAGTCCGGCCGCAAAGTTGTCTGACACCTTTAATATTGAGAGTTTCGTTTTTGCTGATATTTGAAATTAAATTATTAATGATTTTACAATTATATAGCTATTTATTTTCTAATTTACCAGTTTTTCATTACCTTGCCCTCTAAATTTGTCAGATAGACGCCCATCGTGAAAGAACTGTTATTTTTATGCACAATTGTTCTTCACTCTTCGCCTCAGGTGAACAGGACTTAGTATCAGTTCTCTGAACGGATGAGAATCCGGTTTCGTGCCAGGTTTTCCTGGGTAATAATTGTCTAAGCTTGCCTTCTTGGGCTTTTCTCCACACACGAGCTCTCGGCTGGCAAGTCAAGTGTCAGTAATTTCAGTGTTCAGTTGGTTGTGTGATTTCGTCGAGCGTATACGTAAGCAATCCTACTGCAGTAATCGTATAGCACAATCTTCCTCGGCAAACCTAAACTAGCTTTTGTTGTTGGTAATTACCTTATGTAACAATGACGAGGGAGCATCCTATTACCGCGGTTTATCTACAAGCCTGCGTGATAGCAGTCTTAGTGAATGGTGAGTTGTCCCATATTTCATAACAAACTTCTAAATTTACTAAAGATCCACATTAATACGAGTATCCAAACGAATGTTTCTGTTTTTCACGGAATTATTTGATGTCAGCGTTCCATTTCTTGGCGAAAGAATTGTGTCTATGTTCATTCAATTTGCACCTATCGAGGAGGGTAAAGTTCAACTGACGAACGTGGAATTTCAACTGAACAGGTGATCCAATATGTGAACATTTCATCGATACTCTGGCCTGCTAAACTTGAGTTACCTAAACTTGTCTAATGAAATCATTCACTACGCTTGTTTTGTAATTCTGTCTTTCTTCAGTGGATAAATAATTCTCAGAGCAAGCTGCAGAAACATGCATGATGTGACTCGCTGAGCTTACATAATTAAATCTGCAAGGACTTACTGTACGTCAAGGCAACTAAATACTACTTAACTGGCTATCTGTAGATTGTAGCATTCAAGATACCCTTGCAGCTAGTTCTAGCTAATAATTTCAAAGTATTCCGCGACGAACCCATAAATACCTTTCAGATGTTTACAGAGTCGAGCACATAATAGCAAGATATAACGGATCCCTCCAATCAAGCTTCGTATTCTGTCGTGACCGGAAAGCTAAGCGCCGTGTACATCTATACGCGTTGGTGAATGCATGTTCAGCCTGCCGCTGTGCCAATTGTGACTGACTTCATTAAAAAGAACTCTATACAGAATTACCATTAATTTTAATTCTTCTCTAGGACGTATTTGAAGGAATTGTTCGTTAGTTGTTGTGCTCATTCTTCTTTTTGATGCTCATGTGTAGAACAAACTATCGCTTACCAGTAAAAAATATTCAAGCTCTTTGAATTAGGGCTCTGACACTGCAATACAAAATAATTCTAGATTGGCAGACGTTAATATTAAGTGAATTGAGTACAAAAATCTTCTACAAGATCGAAGAGGCATAATTACTGCGGTCTGTTTCGCTAGCTGCGAGTAAACAAAGGAAATTTCCCTACAGTTGGAACCTTGTAATCTCCGTCCGCTCTCGATAGTTGGTATTACCACTGTGGCATATCTACACTGGTATATATGACACTGACTATCATGACTATCTACACTGGTATATGAATGTATATGATATGCATACAGATAATATAATATATATAGATATTATATTTATTATACATCTATATGATGTGCAAATATTATATTATACACATATATATAATGTGTTAATAACAGCTTGCCGGCATAATGCTTGTATCTCTTCATTTTCAGCTGGTGTGAATGAACCTTTAGCACATTTTAAGAGTTTAAGAACAACGAACTGGTTTAATATTGCAATACTCCTCCTCATACATGGAGGGAAACTTTTGTCAGGATATTTTTATGTCAATAATCAGAAAGGATTCAAAGAATTCTTATTATAGGAGGAATCTTGACCAATGCATATTTTATACCAGGATATACGGAGAATAATCGCTATATTGTTGGATAGAAGACAATTCAAAGTACTTGTTGGGAAGGAATCTTGCTGCTAACTAAGCGAGACCTTTCTTCTTTTTGAACGCAAGAACCATGCACAGTGAACGAGTTGGGTCAGAGATACCTTCTCAGATACCGTGTTGCAGGAGAGCTTCCAGCATACAGTAGCTACCCCTGACGGAATAATGACAAATTTAAAAAAAAACTGGTCAAACCCAATAAAAGTGGATAATTCCAGGCTACATGTTATATTGGAGAAGCTGATAACCCATTCCTAGAAAATGTGATCCCCTCTATCAATAAAGACAATAACTTTAGAACTGAATGTACCATGCAACCTCAAAAAATCCGTCAAAAGCTGAATCCTATTAGGTGGAGATTGTTGAAGCATCTGCGTTTCCTTGAAAAATAACGGTAGATGAAATCAGGACTTCGTCCAAAACTAGAACGTATGATAAAGTCTGATAAATCCGCTCTGATTGATCTGCATCAGTTCCTTAGCGTCGAGATTCTGGGTCCTTAATTATAGCCAGTGATCTACAAAAACGTAGGTGTCACTGATTGTTGAGGACAGCCTTCCCCGAAAAATCTCTGCTCCAACAGCATCCTCAAAATGATTCCACGTGGGAAAAAACGGGACAGAAATGAATCTGAAGCGCCCTTTACCTGAAATTACCAAACACAAATACATGAATTCAAATTCCAAATGAATTCAAATTCCAGATACCCATTAGCAACTCCATTCAGGTCACTGTACGCGCTTCAGCGACCACTCCAAACGCTGAGCATTAAAAAAGAACGGGAGCGATTGTTGCGCACTCTGCTTGTCAAAAGCGTCAACCTGGACAACAAAAGCCGAAAGTATAGCGCAGCTACAATGTAATCTTCTGAAAGTTTAGAGGGTTGAGGATAACCGAACAGAACTTGAAAACGAAGGAATTAACAATATCTATAAATTGGATGAGGCTCAGTTCTAGATGTTTTTTAATACTGTTAGGCTTCAGGTGCGCAAGGAATACATCAGCCAGCTGGAGCACAAAATATTTTTATTCGAGTTTTTTTTATTTTCTTCTGACTTCTTTTGAATTTTAATTTCTGAAGCATCATCATCATCCGATGATAGTTGCTTGGAAGAACAGACAAAAGTTTTTATAGTGATGCGAGGGCTGGTTCTTCGAGCATTGCACTTGGAGGAATCGCGGGCTGGGAAATTTTCCAGCATTATAAAATTTATTCAGAATTCGATAATTATTAGGTTACTAATTGATATGCATCTAAATCGATGTCTATTATGGTTTTATTTCTTTCAAAGGAGATGAGAAGAAGCAGGAAATATTGGAGAAAAGCGCCAAGCGTTATGATAAATCTATTTATTTATAATTTTACTGAATTATTTTCTTCAAGATGAATTTATTCTTGACTTGTTGCCACGTATGAGAATAATGCCTTCGCCTCCTCTACAGGTATGAGTGCTCAGCACAGCGTTTCTACTGGAAGTAGTCCCGTGATATCTTGCTTTATCGAGGGCTGGTCAGTGCTCAGGCCTGTTGGTGCTGGCAAGTTCAGTTTGGATGACATCGACCCCAGCCTCTGCACCCACCTGGTCTTCCTCTTTGCTGGTCTCGACGACGACAGATCAACCATTTCTCTAGAAGCTGAATACGACACTGAAGGTGAGCGTGCAACCTTGTAGCAACGGTTTGTGTGATGATCATTTCTATTTTCTGTGAGTAGTTGTTTGGAATATGCACCTGGTGAATATCAAAGGAGAGCAGCAATCAGAAAATATTGTAATTCATCTGAAATCAGAAAATGTATTAATTTTATCTTACTTCGGATGCATTTTAAACTATAAATCATGAAAAATCATTAATTATAAAAATCATTTTCACGATTTTTGGAAAAACATGTCATTAAGTGAAAGTGTCATATGTGAAACCGCGCAGCGAGCAGAACATTTAGCGCGAGCAGCGAGCAGAACACATTGCTCAGTATGTTCTAAGCTCATTTTCGGTCATTTAGACCATATTAAGCAGTTGCCAATCATAAATCTAATGAGTTTTACACAATTAAATTTATCTCCGTATGTCAACAGGAGCGTTCAGACAACTTGTTGCCATAAAAGCACGCGTCCCCTCGCTGCACGTCACCGTGGCCATTGGAGGATGGACGGAAGGCTCTGAAGGATTTTCTAAGATGGCTTCATCTCAACGCACTAGAAAAACCTTCATCGACTCGGTTTTAGAAAATTTGAAGTAATCAGTATAAACATTTTTCGCAAAGTACGCGATGTTCTATATTTTGTTGATCATTATTTACATTTTTTACGGCTAGTCTAGTTGGGCTCGGTTGATTATTCTCGTTCGATTCTTCATGCTGGACTGAAGAAGTATCGGTTGATCAATTTTGAATCTCGCCAGAGAAATGAAAAACGTTGATTGTGGTGTTCGTACGTGGCATTTGGCAAAATAATAACCAAATAAAATAAACTGTGATGTTCTTAATATGTACGAAATTAAAATGGTTGAATCGACGATTTAACATCTCGTATCGTTATTCTTTTTTTCGTGCACTTGTACATTGCTATTTATTATATCCATTTTGAAGAAATATTGGTAATTTTTATTTAGTTAATGCTACACGACAATTCCTCCCGAAAAGAAGGTATCATAATGTAGATATCTACTTCATCAAGTTTTTTGTCGAAGCAGAAGAATTTGGATCTTAATTTGTCCCGCAAGTAACAGTCAGAGGAATAATTTTAGATTCAAGATAGCACTACTATGCGAGTCATCTTGACTCATTAATTTCTCACAGATAACGTACAACAATGCACAAAATCGATAAACCGATGCTAACTGGAAATGCTTTTTTTTTTTGTGGCAGGCGCTACAAATTGGATGGCTTGGATATCTTCTGGCAAAACCCAGCTCAAAAAATTCAAAAAGGTCGCCCGGAAGACAAGCGAAACTATGTTACTTTAGTTAAGGTATATAAAACTGGCTCTTTTTCAACCCTGCACGCTGTTTGCGTCCGCCCCGTAACCTCTGATAGTATGGTTTCCCAATTATTATGCAAATCCTACAGTATTGTTATATTTATATTATTTGATAGTGAAAACCATTCTTTATTCATTATTAGGAGTGATTTTATTTATCTAACTCTAAATTGCACTATTTGCACCAAGTTTTTCTTTTTAATATACCTCGAAAGTGTCTTCTCCCGTTCCATGTTCAAAAATTCTGAATTTATGTTGCACCGTCGCACCGCAGGAACTGAAAGAGGCTCTCAGGCCCGAAGGATTCTCCCTGACCGTGGCGGTGATGTCTCTCAAGAGCGTAATCGACGATGGCTACGATCTCCCAGGTCTCGCCGAGCACGTTGGTGAGATCTCTCGTGTTTAATTTTGCTGTAAAAATCTTGTTCTGTATTACCCCGAATCGGTGTGGCGAGTCACTCGAAGCGCTGATAACTCGCTGATGGCAGTCACTCGAAGAGCTGATAACTCGCTGATGGCAGTCACTCGAAGAGCTGATAACTCGCTGATGGCAGTCACTCGAAGCGCTGCCAACAGCGAGTTGTGTGCTGACAGACATCATCATCTTTCGAGGTGGACGGATGCCTAGACAATAAATTTCTCCATCTCGTTTGGAAAAGTCACTAGCACATTCAAATGGGCCTCTCTTTAATACTTGCCTAGCGAGACGATGCTATGGGAAAATTATATTTCTTTGGGTCAAAAATACGTCGCAGCTCAACATTTTTGCGCGCCTTGTTTCTATGGGTTTTACTCCGTTCATTCAAGCATTGAACGTTAATGGTGTGTATACTTCGTTGTGCTGTTATTTGATGCTTTTCTCAATTCATTTTCTATTTTTTTTAATGCAGCATCTATGTTATTTGCGGTCCCATGACATACAGCGTTCGCCTTGTTGTGCGCAGTTCACTACTGCTGTGTTTATGATGTTTGCTGTTTACTGCTCTGCGTTGACTGCTGTTCAGTGTCACTGTTCGCTGTTTACTACTCTGTTTACATTTTTTGGCAGATCAAAGTTAGTAATTTCATCCTCTTTTTTTGGTTCTGGATGCCCATTTAATTCTATTTGCTCCTGGTTTAAAGTAAATTTGATTTTCCAAGATTTTATGTACCTGCTTACCTACGATTATCACGGGAAGTGGGAAAGAATTACCGGCCTCAATGCTCCACTCTACCCTCGATCGGGGGAAACGGGCCTGGCTCGAACTAATAATGTCGTAAGTTGTTTTTCTTTATCTCTTCATTATGTTGAGTGTCTTTGCAGATAATATACCAAACATGAGTTGTGAGCCGCGGAGGTGCTTTTAAAATATCACAGCACTGTATAGTAATAGTCAAGTTTTCATTTGGCAGTTGATCGTAGAATGAAAATGTCAGTTCTGCAGAGTAGCTTTCCATGAGCTCGACTCCAATAGTTGTTAAAAAATTGACGTTCCCGTTAAGAGTCGTACGAAAATTCGATATTCGTTTTAACAAAAATGCTCACCACTTGATTGAAATTATAAAATTATTTCGACAGAACTTCACGGTATCGTACGCACTGGAGATGGGAGTGCCCGCCGAAAAAATCATACTTGGACTTGCGCTTTTCGGTCGGACTTTCTTCTTGGCGGACAGCAGGAATCATCGAGTTGGTGCTGCTGCTCTGGAAGGAGACCCTTCGTCGGGCGACGGACTCCTCTCATACTTGGAGGTGATCGAATATAGTCACTGCGTTATACATGAATAATACATGCCAAGTCCGTGTGCTAGTTACATCGCGGCGTGCTCGTTAGCTTCTGGGGGGCCTTACTCAGGTTCCCAGCCCTTTCATAGGATCACGACTTCAGCACACTACTGAGGTCACGCGTGATGTATCACGTAATGTTGTCCAAGCTGACTCTGATCTAGTACTTTCCCATCGATCTCTATCGCGACTAGTGAATATTACGTCTCAATTACAGATTATCTAAACTTATATTATATTTATAATGAATGTAATGAGACACCAGATTGACACCGTACCTGTATGTGGTCCAGTGAATAGTGAGTCTATCATGAAAAACGCAGATTCCGTTTTCTATCTTTCCACCAGGTCATGGTTAAGCCACAATTAAATGTTGTGACCAGAATACTGAAACATAAACTGACTCGCCTCGATTTTGTCAGGTTATGTGAATGTTGGCACCAGAGAAAATTATAATCATCTAATATAAAATTAAACTCAAGTACTGCAAAAAGATCTTTTGAGCGAAGTCCAGATGGTCACCTGTGAACTATGCGAAGATCTCATTTGCATCAGCTGTTCGAAGTTGAGCTCTAAGGAGCACACATTTTTCCAGAAATCTAAATTGCTTCATTGGTTTTGCCGTGATGGCGAAAAACCAACTCTTGGTGCTCGAAAAAGAGAGGAGTTGGTGGAAGAGCACTGCAATGAGTCGAAATTGTTGAATGATGTAGTAAACTCCTTGAGTGAGATGGTGCGCTCGCTGAGTGATAAACTGAGCTCGCTATGCAATGAGCTGACTGAAGTGAAGGCTCAGTTGAAAAATACGGAAGAAATGGAAGTAAAGAACAAGACAGCTGATTTATCTGAAGTCGCTAATGAAAGCTCACGTGAATTGCTTGATAGAGAACGTAGGAAGGCCAACCTGGTCTGGTTTGGGATTCCTGAAAGTAACGCATCTGATGCGAAGGACCGAGTGATGGATGACTCTCGGCCTTTGTTGTAGACTGTTGCAGCAAGGTACTCAACTCATCGATTGATGTTATATCTTGCAAGAGGCTACGCTCGAAGGATACTGCTGGCAACACCTTCAGACCTCTGCTGGTGACTGTAAAGGATTCTGCTCAGGTCTGGAGCGTGCTGAAAACAGCGAGAAAGCTTGGAGAATCCGCTGATTACAAGTCAGTTTTTGTAAAGAAAGATTCCACCCCCTTGGAAAGGGCGGTTTTTCGCAAGAAGTGGCAGGAGAGAATCAGGCGGAAAGGCACGGAAAATCAGGTCAATCACTTCCAAGCTGCCAAGACAACACCGGCTGCTCACGGACAGTCAGAGGAGATGGAGGACAAGTAATTAGTAGGAATGATGTCCGTAGATCAAGGCCTGTAAATAATGTAGGAAGTAACAGCATACATCAAAGTGAAAGTGGACAAAAAGTTTTAAAATGTTTTTACACGAACTCGGATTCCGTTTTGAACAAGAAAAGTGAACTGTTAGCTGTGATCGCAAACGAGTGTATAGACATTATTTGTATTACAGAAACACTCCCTAAAAATCACGGGGGGAAAATTGTACCTGTTGAATTTCAGCTGCCAGGTTTTGATTGTTTTCATAACTTAAATGAAGAGCAGTGCAGTAGAAGTGTAGCTCTGTGGGTTAGAACCTCATTTGGGGCCCAGCAAGTTAATTTATCTGCAGAGCATCAATCAGCTAGAGAATCAGTGTGGTGCGAACTTACTCTAAAAGGCAAAGATAGCCTTCTCATGGGGGTAATTTACAGATCACCTAACAGCTTCTCTGATAACAATAAAGTACTAAACAGCCTTTTACCGAGCATGTCATTCAGCAGGTCGCATACGTTGATCGTTGGTGACATTAACCATCCAGAAATAGACTGGGCAAATGAATCTTCCCCAAGAGATGGGAATCACCCAGCATCCTTGTTCTTGGAGTCTGTGCGAGACTCATTTTTAATCCAGAACATCACCAAGCCAACCCATTTTAGGGGTAAACAGACCCCAAATATTCTAGATCTTGTGTTTACTAGTGAAGAATCACTGATAGATGAGCTTCGCCACGAGGCTCCGTTGGGCAAAAGCCACCACCAATCATTGTTGTTCAGTATTAAGTGTTGTGCAGAAAAGACGCTTCGGAAGCGTGAACTTTTGAACTTTGCGAAAGGCGACTATGATACACTCCGTGAAACGGTGAATGCGGCGAATATTTCAGACTGTATTAAGGACATGAATGTGGCTGATTCATGGTCGTTTCTCAGAGACACGGTTATGTCTGCAGTTGATGCTTGTGTACCCAAGATTACGCTTGGAGGAGTCAAAAAGTCCCAGTGGATGAACAGTGCAGTTAAGACTCAGCTAAAGACCAAGAAAGAAGCCTACAAGCGTTATTTACGAACTCGCAGCGAGTCTGATTATAACCTGTATGCCAGAGCTCGAAATCAAGCTAAAAAAGTTTGTCGCGCTGCAGTGAAAAACTTCGAAAAATATATTGCTAAAAATGCAAAAAAGAATCTGAAAGCCTTCTTTTTGTACGCTAGTTCGAAATGTAAGTCAAATGACGGTATTTCTGATTTGAAAGTAGACCAACGAAAGATTTCCTCTGACGAGGGCAAGGCTAACATTCTTAATCAGTTGTTCAGCAGTGTGTTCACAGATGAGGACTTGAACAGTATTCCAGATATTGAGGAGCGCCCAGTCGGCTCGAAGTTAACATGCTTTGAAATACACGAAGAAGAGGTTCTCAAGCGCCTGGTAGCTCTAAATCCCAACAAGTCATGTGGACCAGACGGTTACGGTTTCCATCCCAGATTGCTCAAAGAATTAGCAACCGTTCTGGCCGGCCCATTGACAGTATTCTTTCAAAAAACCTTGAACGAAGGAACTTTGCCGTCCGACTGGAAAGAAGCTCAAGTAACACCATTGTTCAAAAAAGGTATGCCGTTTTCTATTAATTCCATGTTTTCTTTATTTTTTTTTTTTAATTTACTTGAACAAAAAGGTCTTAGATCTCTGTTTTACATATCTGTACCAAGTTTCAAAACGATCCGTCCTTAAACAAAAAAGTTTTGTTGGAGGGTAGCCGGTCCACATAAGTAAAATCTAAAGCTTTATCTATAAATGTAGCGGTAGCGCTGTAGCGGCAAAACCTCGTATCGCTACTTAAATATGTAGCGGGCGCTACCACTACATTACCTTAAATGTAGAGCCCCTAGTAGCGGCCGCTACATGTAGCGCGCTACTGCCCACCTCTGTATATAATGTTCTAAAGTTTGTTTGTTTATCAGTTTGAAACCGTCCTTGGGTACCTTACAACTTTGGTTTCATAAATTCCATCATATTTTAAGGTCATGTATTCCACCCAGGCATAAATGGCGACACTGTTTGCAAAAGTTTTCTAGTGTTTCGCTTTTTGTAAAAAAACTAAAGATTTCTCAAAGAGCTTCGTCTCCCTTTTGCGTCCGTGTGAAATTGAGCGCGGTTATAATAATATAATAATAATAGCGTTTTCAACGTTTATTAGGCCGTAGGCCTGTCGCCGATTCTTAACATCGCAGAACATTCACAGAATTTTGCGGTCTCGAACTCGCAACTCACTGCTACAATTCTGCTTTGCTTAACCGCCCGGCCTCCTTGCCGATTCTGACCAGAAACTGGCGCACAGAGCTGGGATCGAACCCGCGCCTCTCTGCGCCAATCTTGGTACTCTGAACTGTAACCACTGGGCCACCCTGCCATTCAGATTCGGTTGGTTCAGAGTGTGCGATTTTTTCTGTTCCATAAAGAAGATGGCTTCACAGACATTCATTCGGAATTCAGAGAAAGCCTTCGAATCTCGTGTCATAGTGAGTGAATGAGTGGAAAGACCAAGTAGGATCAAATTTATAGGTTTGACTATGAAAGGAGCTGTTTTTCCTTAGCATAACCCCAGAATACATACAATAGCGTAATGATAAGTGGTACATTGACAAAAATACATGTTTAGGCTTGAACAATGACTCGTTCAGATGGGAAAAAATAGCGCGGCCTTTTAAAAGTGTAAATGTTTTTTTTTCAAATGCCCGTTTATTACCTGCTGATGTGATATTGCAACAGGCCTGGTAGGGCCAGGGGGAGGTATACCCTAAAATTTTCGGATTTGGCTTTTCTGGTATTTAGTATCATCTTAAAGCTGACATTCTGCCCTATCCAATGATACCACTGCGATCTCTGTAAGTGAATTTATACGTACATGACGGCTCTTTAAAGGGGGGCGGGTGGAGGAGTTCCTTCACTAATTAGATACGAGGTAATTAGCTGCTGAGCATTTTAAATATAGTGTCTGATTGAGTTGCGCTTTAGTTACTTGTTTAGTCTCATCTTAAAGCTGACAGTCTGAGCTTTCCAACTATACCACTGCGATCCCTGTCTGTGAATTTATACGTACACGGCTGCTCTTTAAAGGGGGGCGGGGGAAGTTCCTTCAGTAATTAGATGGGAGGAAATTCGCTGGCCAACACTAGATATATGGTTGTTTCTGGCATCAAGGCTCAGTCACCCTTCTCGCTTCGTACGGAGAGGTGTACTACAAGTCGCTGCTACCATCCTTGAGTGGAAGGAAGCTACAGAAGCGTGTAGTTGGTATCCATGCTACATTGATTGCCTATTTCGAGGCGCGCGGGACTTTGTCGCGCTCTCCTGAAAAGTTTAACTTATTGTCACGGAAAATCCTACTCCTCCTAGAGTTTTGAAGCTACAGCAATGAGACATATACCATTCTATTTGTAAAGACCATACCTATCGAGTAACGAAGCCCTTTTTTAGATTTGTGCATAGTTTGGACTCAAAATGGGGGGAAGGAGGGGAGGGAAATCTGATGAATAAAAAAAAATTTAAATGCGTGTAAAAAAAACTAAGACTAAAATAAAAAAAACGGGCTTCGTTACTCGATTGGTATGGTCTTTACGAATCAAATGGTATCTGTCTCATCGCTGTAGCTTTAAAACTCTAGGAGGAGTAGGATTTCTACAGTACCCCCTTTTTGGCCGTTTTCTATGAAATTCACGTTTTCTATGCATTTTTTCGAAAAAAATCACACGAACAAAATGTGATTCTTTTGCGGTTTTACATATATGTGTGAAGTTTCAGAAAGATCCGTCCGTAAACAAAAAAGTTTTTCCGAAGGGTATACCATCCCCTTAAGTGGTTGCTAGGGGAACCAATTCGTTGCAACGCTCTGATAGGTTGACTCACTCGTACCTTATTTGGCCGTGATTGCCTTTGATGTTCCCGGACAGCATGTGTGGGTGGCGGTGCTCAATTCAGTGTTTACTATAATTGCCAATTCATGCGAGACATCTTTGAATCGTTCATTATGCGTTTGAATGCTAAGTTAAATCGAGAACAATCTATTCTTGCAAATATTGTCAGTCTGAGCAATATTTAAGACAAATAAAATCATTGTACTAAATGTGTTAAGATAAAAAATCATAAATCATTGCACTTAAACTAGAGGTTGTTGCGTGCTGCTAGCACCCGTTGTGATTAAGGTAAACTTGTCCGTCGCTGCTCGGAAACCGTCATTTCATATTGAAAACCGAGTTTCTTAGTAAATATTTCATAAATTAGCATCGCCCTGCCAATTTATTGCGAGGATATCAGCTCTTGGAGCAGCATGTAACGTAATAGTATCCATGATACCAGTCTTCAAACGACCACGAAGTGTTGCCTGGAACATGTAAAAGAATTCGTGCAGGTTAAGCTTGAGTTATTCGTGACGCTGTGAGATAAAAGCGGATAATTCCGGCTTTAATGAGTGGTATGCAGTGACAAATTCCTGGCATCATAATTATCATTCTAAAGCAAATACCCGGATCCATAATATAATTTTTAATGAACAAACTCATTCCAATCATGACTTGAAATAACTTTTTTGTTTTTTTTAGATCTGCAAGCGAATAGAGTCGGAAGGAATAGTTTGGTCTATCGCCCGTGAACAGGAGCAGCGAGCACCGTACATCTACGGTGGCACGGAGTGGATCGGCTATGACGACTCACTGTCTCTTACTGAGAAAGTAAGCTATTACATGCAGTGGTAAAAACTCTTTATTGAGCAGTGTAGGATGAGATTTAAAAGAACGTATTTCTGATCTGATTTAGGTGGGCCTAATAACTCTAGTTTGTTTCTCAGCCCTATCTTTGATCAAAAATATTCTTACTTATCTTTCATTATTCATTTGCAATATATTTTTAGCTTTTTTCAGCTCTTACGTTTGCGTCATTATCAATAAGTTGAATTGATAATTTTTTCATATCTGAGAAGTAGCTGTAGGTTTCTATTTTCAAGTAAGCATGAACATTTTTTTATTAGTTATTGATTATTATTTAGTTCTTTCCGGGTCGGGATGAGATAATGAAGCTTTGGCAGTCTGTATGTTGAAAGCTTAATTCTTATTTTATTTTATTGAAATCTTCATTGTTTTATTTAAATTTTACTTCACATTATTACTTTGTAGGCTAGTGTTGGTTAATTAGCTAATTCTATATTGTTTGCATGTTATACTAATTTTTACATTCATGTTAAGTGATTGTTGTTGATGTCATCAATTTATATTTGTTTATAATTGAAATTATTCGATTTACTACAGGCTCCAATTTTATTATTCATGCGTTATTCATCTTTTTTCTTCAAACTGCCATATAGATAATCGAAGTTATTAATTTATCATATTACATGCTTATATCAAATAATTCAGTCATTTGATTTCAACTAGTTCAGTTAACCCCCTTAAATGTGATTGCTGGATGCAACTTCCATGATTGAATACTTTCACGTCCTGCTCGTTATCTCCTCAAGTAGTATGATAATCAAATAATGGTTTAGTCCCCAAATAACTTCACTAAATTTCTCAACGAACTTTCAAGCTTTTAAAGCCATTAAAATGACTTCAATTGTATCTTTCAGTTCCTTGACTCCAGTTCCTGTATCCATCAGTTACTTGTTTTGGTATTTCCTTTCCCTGCAGCTTGGTACAACATATAACCCCATGAATATAATCAGTGAAATTAATTGTTTTGAAAAACAGTTTGGTCAAAACTTCACCCCTATACTTGCTTACTACTCCATAGAAAGAAACACAGTTCATTCCACCCGGTTGAGCCGCCCGTCAACAAAATCTGAAACAATTTATCGCGATGCTAGTGCCTTCAACGAACGCTTATATTGAGTATAGTTGCGTAGAGTACTACTGTTGGTAAAACTAATTTCGTACAGCAAGTACCTGTTTAAAGCACGAGAATTTTTTACAATGGCAAATCCTGGAAGCACGCAGTCAGCGCTTCATCCACCGCAAATTGTAAGTAGCACACTTGATACGATAAAATGGGAGTATCAAAGCTCATGCTGTCGGGGCCCATTCAATAAATAAATGATATAGAAATAAAGCCGTCAGTGGCCCCAGACATTTACTTATGATCGTGTTATAATAATCATTGCCATTAAGAAGGATAACTGAATAAAGCTGAATAAATGAACAAAATATAATAATCGAAACAAGCTATCAATGATTACAAAGCAAGAAATAAACAAAACAAGAACTGTGCGCTTTCTGTAGGCCGACTAACTAGTTTCAATAAAGATCTGATCAAATCCTTATTTCGGAGCTCCTCTGCACATGCAAAACGAAAACACAAAATTAAAACTAATGAAATGAATAAACTAATAAACGCAGAAATACACAATAGCACGGAAGACATGATGACAGAAGATACAGGAATGAACATTACTAAAAATATTCACTTAAACGTCACTTAAATACTAGGGCACTATCAACACTGCAAATAAACACGACTAAAAGAACCACGTACCTCTGTGGTGGAATCGCACAAACGAATGACAAGATATAGCAGATTCCTACGTCAGGTCACGTCAGTGGTAACTAAAAACCTAAAAGATAAATTACTAATCTATTATTTACATGACTATTACGTCCCCTTACATCGGGCTACATAACTTATGTCGCCATTGTCGGTTTTCAATTGAATTTGTAGAATTAAATTTAATAAATACATAATATAATTAATTTCTATTGCTTAGATAGACCTGGCCAAGAGGCTGCGCCTGCGCGGAGTGAGTGCGTTCGCCATATCCACGGACGACTTCAAAGGCGAATGCCTGGCGGGCAAGTATCCGCTCCTCAGGACGATCAACGCTGAGATGCGGGATTATAGCATCGAACTTAATCGTGAGTCCAAAATGATTATTAATTTCTGTAACATATTCGTGATTGTTTATTAATGTTACGACTTGATTTTGAATTCGAAGTCGTTATTGTTTGCTTTAAATAATGGTCCCCCTATAAAAATATTATAGCTGAATGAAAATTATTGCAGATTGAGTAAAATCATGCTTTGAGGATTGCGAGTATTTTATGTACAAAATTCATACATAAGTAAAATTGAGGGGGAAAATGCATTCTTTCTGACGAAATGAATTCGGATTTTACTTTCTTAAATGCATCAATCCCTTCAGAATTTTTTAATCAAATATTATATTGAATTTAGAAGTATTTGTAACTCAATGTTCAAATACAGTCTTGGTCATGTTTTACTGCTTTGTTTTTAGCTATTGGGTTCCATTCATTTGCATTAAAGCCGGATTCCATACTATTTTTGGGGAATTATTAATTTACGAATTTCATTTTCTCCTTATTTGTTAATATGATAGCACACTGACTGTACTTGGTCGCTTCGACTGGTATCTGCAAATGTACATTTTGAGTCGTTATATCAAATTTGCTTATAGCTCCTATGCCGCATTATCAAATTAAGGGAGTTTTTCTTCATTGCTTAATTTTGATATGTGTACCTGTTTGCATTCTTCTAATATCTCATCGATGCAATTTCAAATTCTTAACAGCGCATGAACTTTCCACCTCCTATTGTTTTAGAACCACAAAGGCCTGTGGTGGTAGCGTGCTTCTACCAAAGCTGGTCAGTGTACCGGGAATCTCTGGGCAAGTTCCAAATATCCGACATCGACCCCAGCCTCTGCACTCACATTATCTTCAGCTTCGTTGGACTTGACGAGTCCAACCTTACAATCGTCGATCTTGATCCTTACTACGTGCAGCGGGGTAGATGTTCAATTTTAATCAAATTAGACGACTTTCTATTAGATTTTTGTTCCATATTCTGATATGAAATGATGTATTGGTAGAAACTAGTATAAGCAAGGTATAATTTAGGTCCTTTATTGTCGAATATGAGTTGCAAACAATATTGATTTCTCTATTCCGCTTAGAATTCTCGTTTCACATCAAATTGTTTACATTCAATCATCTATTGTATTCTTTTCAAGCTACAGCAATTTTCAATTCTTATAATTGAATTAAGTGAGGTGAATCATGGAGGTGAATCTTGTCTCTATATAAGTTGCAATGCAAACATGCCAATCGGCCTCTCTATACTGCGTTTAAGCAGGAGCCTACGACGAATTGCGTCAGCTTAGAACCCTGAATCCCAACATCGTAATTACGGTGGCCGTGGGGGGTTACGACGAAGGTTCTAAAAAGTTCTCCAGGATGGTGGCGACAGCGGAAAACAGAAAAAAATTCATTTCATCAGTACTAGATTTTTTGCGGTGAGTTGCGCTGTCGTTGTAATTTTTCCAGTATTATTTTTGACTTAGTCGTGCGTAGTAATTTGTCCATTTTATAACACTAAATTTTGAACGTAGCTTTGAAAAGTCACTGGTTGAATTAAATACAGGCTCAAAAAAAACGATTCATGCGTTAGTTGAACGTTCCTTATCAGGCAAGCCACTTCAGCAAGTAAAAATGTTCTCCTCACGACGGCGTTTATCTCTTGTGGTTCATGCCCAAAACTGCACTATAAAACAATTAGGAGAATTTCTTGCGCCTGAATCAATACAGATCAAACTTTAACCGAATAAATTCAATGTCATTTAAAAAGATACGTACAACGGCATTGCTACTACTTTAAAATATTATATCTCGAATGACAACATACTCGTTCGCTGTGGTGATGCAGACCGAATGATATACAAGAATATTTATATATGAATTGCCACTATTCCGGACTTCAGGTTAGATTTGGCAACATCCGTTGAACGTGTAATTCAGTATGGTTAAAAGACATATATTATTTCGCGCCCCTACCATAGTATTTTTCTATCTCCATTAATATGCTAAAAAATTTCGTAACCGTTGGTTATCGACCCGACAGACGAACTTTGCTGGACGGCATTGATCTGGCATGGATGGACCCCACCTTCCGTGAGGGCAAGCCTGAGGACAGAGAAAACTTCGCCCTCCTCGTGCAGGTCAGTGTTTTATAAACGCAGGAATCTCTCCGCATACCTTTTGGGTCTTCATTTGAATGGTACGAAATGGTTAGCGGGAACTGTTTTGAAACACACATAGTTTATCGTGCCTATAAGGCTCCACATCAATGCTTACAAACTGAGTTCATTTTGAGGTCTATAAATACCAGAGCTTGAATAAAGTTCCATAGTATTGTAGGATTAAGTTGCATACCCTTCAAATTCTCCAAATAAATACAATTCACCCAAAAATATGTTCACAACAAAAATTTCCACACGATTTTTTTCTGTCTGTGACTAACTTGTTTTATACGATGCAATTTCTTCGCTGTAATATAATTTTTGAGTTCCATGGTAGAGGAACTCTAGCGAAATAAGCATCAAACCCTGGAAGCATGAACCACATAATTTTCTTTAAACTCAATGCCGGTTATTTGATATATAACAATAAAATTAGAAAAAAATTATTGCAATTCCAGGAACTTTCAGAGGCTTTTGCACCCCCTGGTTACCACCTAGGCGTTACTGTCAGTGGAAGAAGCTCCACTTTAAGGCAGGGATACGACCTTTCTGTCATAGGAAAGGCTGCAGGTGATGTTTTTTCAGGTCCTTATGACTTTTTGGTCTTTACATAGATTACTGTGCATGCATGTATTAGGTGAGATTCTTTGAATAGGCAAGTCAAATTTAATAAATGGAATTTCGCGACGGAAAATTACAGCCTTTCGATGTTGCGGTTAGCGTTATGATATACGATATTTTTAAGTTCATTTCTTACAAGCCATATTGTTTCATAGCAACAACACTTCCACAGACGTGGTGCATATCCTTGTCTACAACTTCCACGGCAGCTGGGAAGACCAGACCGGGCACACATCTCCTCTCTTCCCCAGTGATGAGGAGAGAGTGCAATCTAACGATGCCGCCACGTTTAACATGGTCGGTATTTAGAAATTGAAATTACCATATGTAGTGAATTTATTTTGTATCATCTATTTCTAGTTGAATGCGTATATATTTATTAATAACTTGATTACTCGTACGTGAAATTTTTCGCCCGTAAAGTTTTATCGCCACATTATTAAATGTTAATGCCAGCATTATTTGAAATTATTTTCTATGTGCCTTAACATAGCCAGAGAATGTTTCTCTTAATTCGAGAAAAATTTAATCTCATTGTGTGAATGTCCATGAAGTTTCTTCCACTAAGATATACCAATCTAGAATATTTCTGCCAAGGACTCGGCCTTGCGCGCAGTGTTGGCAGGCGGAGTGCCAACTCACAAGATAGCAGTGAGCCTCCCCTTATTCTCCAACACCTTCATACTGCGAGACAACACACAGAACTACTACGGAGCCCCTACCTTAAAAACGGGCTTCCAAGGACCCTACACCAAGGTTATCGGCTACGTTGGATACAATGAGGTAAGAATGGGTTACACTACTTTATTACATTGATGGCTGAGATTAACTAAGTCAACCTCAGACGAGCTGCTCGCGGGCCGTGATCGAGGACGCACGTACGTGTTTGCGGGTCCCAAATTTCTCACTTTTTACTATGCAAGTTTGACATACCTCTCGAATTTTGTACCGAAATTATTTCAGTAAAAGGCTCAATTTCAGTGGAGTTCAGTAGAAATGGTGCGAATAGTGAGAAGAAGCGGCTAGTGCAAGTGTTTTATTCCCGACAAATGCCAATGCAAGGAGTGAGGGCAAACGTGTAGCTTGCTGGCAACCCTCGGCTAACGCCTATCGCACCGGAGAACAACGGAGCATTGAGCACGCGCAGGCCTCGTCTTCTTATATACCCTCCCAACCCTCATGGCCAGCGCTAGTTCTTATCACCGCCTCCCAAATCTGCGAGTCGCGTAACTGCGACGGAATCTGAACTCTACTTAGCCCGACTCAGTATTTAACTCGCATCTTTCTCTCCAATTACCTGGTTTTTACTTTAACTCAAGTTTTTCTCCGTTTTATTGTCTTATACAGCCCCACCTCTGTATCTCCCTCCATTGGATACAGCTGTTGGGCCTGATTCAGAGTATTGACGGAACTTTATCTCTACTCAACTAAGTTCAAATTTACACCTGTTTTTTTCCGAGCATTGCACGATGACTGGACAGAGAAGAAAAAAGGTAGGCGAAAAGTCCCCTTGATCCGCTAGAAAAAAAGGCAAAATCAAATCACCAGTGAATTTTTCAAAAGCTCATTTGTATTAGCTGTTCAAAGTTGAGCTCAGAAGAGTACCTTTTTCTCCAGAAAACTAAATTACTTCATTGGTTTTCTCGTGACTGCAAAAAATCAACTCTTGGTGCTCGAAAAAGCGGGAAACCAGTGGAAGAGCACACCAATGAGTCGAAATCATTGAATGATGTAATAAACTCCTCGAGTGAAATGGTGCGCTCGCTGAGTGAAAAATTGAGCTCACTACGCAATGAGCTGCCTGAAGGGAATGCTAAGCTGAAAAACGTTGCTAACGAAAGCTCCCGCGAGTTACTTGACAGAAAACGTTGGAAGTCCAACCTTGTGTGGTTTGGTTTTCCCGAAAGTACCGCATCTGATCCGATGGACCAAGTGATGGCTGACACTGCATTTATTGCAGATTTTCGTAGCAAGTCACTCAGCAAATAGGTTGATATTACATCGTGCAGGAGGCTACGATCGAAGGATGCTGCTGCCAACACATACAGACCTCTGTTGGTGACTGCAAAGGATCATGCTCAGGTTTGGAGCGGGCTGAAGACAGCGAGAAAGCTTGGAGAATCCTCTGATTACATGTCCGTTTTTGCAAAGAAAGATTTCACCCCTCTAGAGAGGACGGATTTTCGCAAGAAATGGCAGGAAAGAATCAGGCGGAAAGGTACGGAAAATCAGGTCAATCACTCTCAAACTGTCAAGACAAATCCGGCCGCTCACGGTCAGTCAGAGGAGATGGAGGACAAGTAATTAGTAGGAATGATGTCCATAGATCCAGGCCAATAAATAATGTAGGAAATAACCGCATACATCAAAGTGAAAGTGTACAAAAAGTTTAAAAATGTTTTTATACGAACTTGGATTCAGTTTTGAAGAAAAAAGTGAGACAACTGTTAACTGTTTTTGAACAAAAAAGGTAACAAAACTGTTAACTGTGATCGCAAACGAGGGTATAGACATTATTTGTATTCCAGAAACACTCCCTAAATATCACGGGGGGGAAATTGTACCTGTTGAATTTCAATTGCCAGGTTTTGATTGATTTCATAACTTGAATGAAGAGTAGTGCAGTAGAGGCCGAGCTCTGTGGGCAAGAACCTCTTATGGGGCACAGCAAGTTAAGTTGTCTGCAGAGCATCAATCGGCTAGAGAATCAGTGTAGTGTTAACTTTATCTAAAAGGCAAGGATTGCCTTCATACATCACCTAACAGTTCCTCTGGTAATGATAAAGTACTAAATATTCTTTTACCGAGCATGACTTTCAGCGGGTCTCATACGTTGATCGTTGGTGACTTAAACCATCCAGAAATAGACTGGGCAGATGAATCCTCTCCAAAAGATGGAAATCACCCAGCAACCCTTTTCTTGAAGTCTGCGCGAGACTCATTGTAATTCAGAACATCACCAAGCTTTTTAGGGGTGAACAGACCCCAAACCTTCTAGATCTAGTGATTACTAATTTACTAGCGAAGAATCAATGTTAGATGAGCTTTGCCAGGAGGCTCCTTTGAGTAAAAGCGACCACCAGTCAATTTTTTTCAGTATTAAGTGCTATGCAGAAAAGACGCTTCGGAAGCGTGAACGTTCTAACGTTGCGAAAGGCGACTATGTTAGACACTGTGATGCATTGAATGCGGCGAATATTTCGAACTGTATTAAGGACATGAATGTGCCTGATTATGGTCATATCTCAAAGACACGGTTATGTCTACAGTTGATGCCTGTGTACCTAAGATTACGCTTGGAGGAGTCAAAAAGCCAAAGTAGATGAAAAGTACAGTTATAGCTCAGCTAACGACCAAGAAGAGAGCCTCCAAACTTTATTTTCTAAATCGCAGGGATGCTGATTATAACCTGTATGCAAGAGCTTTAAATCAAGCTAAAAAAAAGTCTGTCGCACCGCAGTGAAAAACTTTGAAAAAAATATTGCCCAAAATGCAAAAAATAACCCGAAAGCCTCTTTTGTGCGCTAGTTTGAAGTGCAAGACAAACGACGGTATTTCAGATTAGAAGGTAAAACACTAAAAGATATCCTCTGATGAGGGCAAGGCTAACGTTCTTAATCAGTTCTTTAAGTTTGTTCATAGATGAGGACTTGAACAGTATTCCAAATATTGAGGAGCGCCCAGTCGGCTCGATGTTAACAGGTTTTGAAATACACGAAGAAGAGGTTCTCAAGCGCCTGGTCGCTCTAAATCCCAACAAGCTTTGTAGACCAGACGGCTTCCAACCTAGATTGCTCAAAGAATTAGTAACCGTCCTGGCCAGCCCTTTGACAGTATGCATTCAAAAAACCATGAACGAAGGAACTTTACCGAAAGAAGCTCATGTAACACCATTGTTCAAAAAGGGTGACAAAAATAGCCCCGGTAACTATCGCCCTGTCACTCTGACAAGTGTTGTTTGCAAGGTAATGGAATCTGTTGTGAGTGATAGGATTATCGACCACTTGACTATTCACCACCTCCCATCAGACTGTCAACATAGCTTTACTGCCGGGAGATCCTGCACCACTAAACTCTTGTTTACTTTAAACGAATGGACCCGCCTGCTGGACGAAAGGGAGCCAGTAGATGCAGTGTACATCGATTTTGCCAAGGCATTTGACAGTGCCCCCACATGAGCGACTGTTGCGTAAATTGAAGTCTTTGGGAATTGAGAGTAATTTACTCAAATGGATCAGAGATTTTTTAGTAGAAAGAATTTGAAACAAGAACCAGCACCAGGAGCCACGGCTATAAACTTAAAAAACTGCGTTGCAACTCATCCACGCGACAACATTTCTTCTCGCTTCGAATCACCGACATGTGGAACAGCCTCCCCGGTTACATTGTTGACGCTCCGAGTATAAATGCGTTCAAGAACAGACTAGATAAAGCTATTGAAAAATATATATTCAGATTTTAAAATGCCTAGCACCATATCGAACCCGGTGGAAGTCTAGTAGCTATTTCTAACTATTGTCAGTTCGGATAAGATCCGGTCGAATGACCTGTTTTTAGATCTCACGAAAAGTACAAGAATCGGCGACACGCCACATCAGGCTTACTCTTCAGCGCCGGCAGCACTATTTTATGTTATGTTTAGCTTAGTGTTATAATGTACCACAATATGGCAAGTTAATTTTTGTTGTCAATTTTACTTGCGAATAATAGCTTCTCTTGAAAATAGTTATGTCAAGCTTTCGAACAAATAAGTTCACCCGTTCCAATGAAATTCAAAGGAAAAGTTATGATCGTTTGCGTCGTATTGGAAATGAAAGCCCCAAACTTATTAACCAGGATCGTTCGTTCTATTTGACGTTATTAGTAACTCGATTGAACATAAGCTAATGTCTTAACAGAAAGTTTCTTTTTTTAATTCGTCGCAATTTCTTGTTTCACTATAAATCATATTTGATTCTCGGTGTCACAAAATATTGTGAATATAAATGATGTGACAGCAAAGTAAGTACAGTTGTAAAGGAAGATGTGCGCATGAAGCTCTAAGCTCCTATTGAATGTTGGAATCTCATGAATATGTGGCTCTTTTAATCCTTCGATTTAGTGCTGAGATCTCACTTATCGGCGTCATTGAACTTATCTCACTTTCACGTCATCGAACGCTGAAATCTAAACCGAGTTCATGTGCGAGGAATGTCTAACCCTTTAAACGCATTAAGACTTAAAGCAGACAATAATTGTTTATTGACTGACTCGTACTAATCAGAATCTTTTTAATGTGGACATGCATTGGACAGGTTATTTGGTTATACGCGGTAAAAAATTCTACTATGTAACATAAATTTCTGTCTCTAATATGCTGGTGAATATATTCCGTGTTTTTTTTTCTCATTGGTTAACTTGTATTTTGCTGCAAGATATGCGAGATGCAGCTTGAACAAGACAGACGCCAACAACAGAACCAATACGTTGTTAGAGGCTGGACGATTGACTGGCATGAGCAGCATCGAGTGCCGTACATGTACAAAGACGATAAGTGGGCCGGCTTTGACAACGTCACAACTATTGAGGAAAGGGTATGTTTAAAAGAGTCTATGGCTAAATCTTAATTGGTGATGGTGAATGTTTATAATGTCAATAATTACGGAGCCTGACCGCATGTTTTCTATTAGAGCAAGCGTCTGGTTTGAATTATGGATCTTTATACATGAAGGCTTAAAGTGAGGGCTTGGTCATGATACATTAGAAAAACATGGCCTCATTGTTATAAATTAACTTCTACGAATTTATTATCATGTATACATTTATTTAATGTCGTAAAATAATTCAATTCCTTGTAATAAAAATACTGTGCGTTTGGCAGACGTTCATGCACGGCGAGAAGGACTACTGAACGCTCGAAGTATGAAAAATTCCTGTGTGAATTTATTTTGCCGTTTCGGATGACGATGAAATTTCATAGGAATATTTGTTCAGGTTCGACTTGCGCTCAGCCACGGCGTGACCGGTATTAGCGTGTGGTCGGTGGACACGGACGACTTCAGAGGCGTGTGTGGCACCGGCAAATACCCGCTTCTCAGCGCCATCAACCGCGTGCTGAAGGAGAACAAGATACCTGATAAACAAAGGCCCGACATGGTGCCTTCATCGACCACAGAGAGGAATGTACCGACGATGCCGAGGCCTGGTAAAACTAGTCGTCATTACTAGAAAATACTTAATTATGAATATTTAGTGTGACTAGCGTTTTATCATAGACAAATTTATGATGGCTTGAAAATATTATAATGTTAAGATAGCGTTGCTGATGAAGCTGTAAAATAAAAAATTATTATTTTCAGTCTCTGGATGTAGCGTCGCCGCCACGAGTAATGTGAGCGTGGCTGTTCTATCCTGCGGATCACTGAATGATGAGTGAGGCAAACGTATTGGCTAGATCTGTTATTATTATTTTCTCTTACTTTCGCGAAAATGTTGTTAATTTAATCATGACCATTTCGGTTGGCATCGTTTCTTTCTGGATTTTAAGTAGGTTATAGCAATTTAAATTAACTCGACCCTTTCTCGTGTCGCACTGATTGTGCTGTATCCATGTATATTTGTGTATAATTGTATTTCATTGATTCATTTAAGTTATAATTTCATTTTAGTATTGCTTGTTTCTTGTCCGTTCTCAGCCCAGCACAATGTGATGCTGGCGACACCGTCCCGCCTCAAACCGTCGTGCTGGCCACGTGCTGGGAGACTGCAGACATGACTGTCAGGTCAGGCTTGTATTCATGCACAGGTCATTTCTGTGAGTGGCATTTCGTTCACATATGATCTGAAACTATAATTTTTAATTAGTATCTGCTGCAATTTACCTTCCTTCGTGATCAACCATCTGTTATATGTAAAAATTTCAGGTATGTCGGCCTGGTTTTGCTGAATTTTTTATAAAACGATATTCGTGGACTGATGGAACGTTCTCCATAGAAACTCCGTTGGCACCATCCTTGTTACGATTCACACTCCGGGTTTATTTCTATTATATAATAAATTGCACGCTTTAATATAAACTTTCTTAAGATTTGCTCTTTTTAAAGATGTCACGATGACGGATTCTGGAAGCCCTTCATACAGGAGGATGGATGGCTTGAAAAGAAGATGGCCATTCTATGTCAGCCATACTACCTCAATTCTGAAGGTAAAATAATCAAGTTCCGCTTTCTTACCCTTGATATCCGGCCTACTATTGAATTTGTTATTGATAAGTCACAGTCTTGCAATACTGTATAGCCGAGGCTTCCATCCCATGTGATATCCTCAGCCTCTGCCTCCTATAATTGCCTTGTTTACTCTTTGTCCTTTACCACTTTAATGCCCCTCACCGCATTCTGCTCCTCACTTGACTCTGCCCCTCACAACACTATGCCCCTCACCACACTGACCTCCATCACATTCTCCCCTCACCACTATCGGCTCCTCACACTTTGTCCATCCTTGTGACCTTATGACCTTATGATGAGTTTAAGACTTCGAAGTCCACGGTCACGTTTATGCGCCGCCTTCGTCGTCGTCCTCCGTTTCCAAGTCGTCGATAGGCAAGCCCTCGGGTCCCGGATAAAACGTTGAACGTGGTTCGTCTAGTTGCCTCCATTGGGCCAGCTGATGCAAGATGCTGTTGCTTGTCACTTTCTGATGGTAGTTTCCCATAACTGGATAATCATGGATCTTTCTCGACCACTTGTCCACTCCTCTCATGAATGTCGCAAGGGTAAACTCCTCTCTTCTCAGCACTTTCGGTAAGGCATTAAACAGTCTCGGTCCTACCACGGACAGTGATCACTCCCGAAAAGTCTGTACTCAGGCCGCGGCACGGTTATTAAATAGGGGGATCCTGCACAGTATCCCCCTACTTCGTTGAAATATGTCACTATTTTGGAGGTCTCACTTTCAAAGTTGAGAGCCAGTCCGGTTATCATCTTCCAAATGTACAATATGATGTACCTCTCTCTTCTCTTCTCCAGTGAGAACGGTCCAAGGTGTTTCATCCTGTCCCAGTAATTCAGCACCAGTTCCCTCATGCCGCTGATCCTGGACGTGAAGGTCCGCTGGACTGACTCCAGTTTCTGCATTGCACCCGCCTGGAGCGGCGCCCAGAACTGGCAGCAGTACTCAAGATTGGGGGAGCGCGATGACTCTGAAGAGTGTAATCATTGGTGCTGCTTCTCTCGTTCGAAATGTCCTCCAGATCCTACCCATCTATTGTCTGCTTCGCGCGACTATTTCCATCAGTACACACCAACACTCCGAGATCTCGAACAAGTTGCTTCTCAACTTTTTGTGCCATTCGATGCCAAGTAGGGATGTGGCATCCCTGTCTCTGTGTCGACTCTTTATTTCATAGCTTCGAACTTAGAACCGTTGAATTGCATATTATTCACAAGGGCCCAATCGTAGATTGTCAACAAGTCATCCTGCAACTTCTCGCACTCTAGGTTCTCTGAGATCCTCATCAGCACTCTTGTATCGTCTGCAAATGAAGATGTAGATGCGTGAGTAAGCTCCGAATCAAAATCGGCGATGTGAATGAGGAAAAGGATCGGTCCTATTCCTCATCCGAAGAGGGAGAGGATCGGTCCTCTTCCTCTGAGTACGGAGCCCTGTGGTACTCAGCTTTTCACCCTCGCTTCTCTCGATTTTGAGTTTCAAATTGCAACAGCTTGTTGTAGTCTATTTGAAAGGAAATTGTGGATCCACCCTAACAGGCTTCCTCCTAACCCCAACATCCAGAACTTTCTGAGGAGCTTCTCATGGTCAACTTTATTAAAAACTTTAGCAAAGTACAGGTATACCACGTCCACGCCAGCTCCCTCCTCCAGTAAGGCCACAAGGTGGTGATGATGATCCAATAACTGTGACAAACAGGAACGATTTCGCAGGAAACCATGTTGTCCGTTATTCTAAAGTTCAACCTTTTCCATATACTGGACAAGCCTCCTGGCCCCTACCTTCTCAAAAACCTTGATCACCTTTGAGGTCAAGGTCACCGGTCAGTAATCTTGAGGTCTGTCCCTCGGGCCTCCTTTATGGATTGGAGTTATCAGTTCCACTTTGAGGCGCTCAGGAATAATTCTCTCCATCGTCGAGTGTTTCCAGAGCATTGTGAGCGGATCATTCAGTGCCCCAACACACTTCTTCAACATCACCGCCGGAATTCCATCCAGTCCTGTTGCTGAGAACGTCGCCAGTTCTTTGATGCCTATTTCTATATCTTTTGGTCCAAGCTCGATGTTCTCTAACCTCCTTCCGCCTGGCAACTCCTGGAGAACTTCGATTTCGTTCTCCTATCTTGAGTAGCGTGGGTTACTGGACACTAATTCCAGTGTAACTAACACTAATTCCAGTGTAACTAGTTACACACCTGCACTGGTCATCTCCGACTATGACATCCCTATCCTTCAGCGGGCCGACTGGCGTCTTTATTTCAGCCTTTGGCTGGGCGTATTTTAAAAAATAATTAGGGTTTTCTCTGATAACCTCAATTACTCGTTCCCCGGCAGCTTGTTCTTCCATCTTGTGCGAGTCCTGCAACCTGTTTCAGTCCCCTTGTGGAGCTCTACTAGTCTCTGTAATATCAGGTCACTAGCGGATTCAACTAATTGTTTGTTTAATCGTTTGCGCTTTCTCATGAGGATTCGACGGTCTTCCGGAATGCTGCGGACTTTGAGGCCCATTTTTCTCGGGGTATGACGTACACACACCTGTGCTAATTTCTCACATAGTATGTGTAAATGTCTTCTGCATTCATCTCGTGAAACTCTTCTCTTCAATCACTTACGTCATGTTCATTCCAAATTGCCTCCGAATCCGTTCTTCGATGGTGGAAATTAAGTCCTACCAGTCCCATCTGTGGAATAATCCTGGGCTGGGTATCAGTTCCGATTGTCGGATCCACCATCAACAGGCGGTGGTCGGACAGTGAGGTTTCTTCAACCCGAACGTCAAGCACCATTCTTTCATTATTAGTTGAAAAGAGATCGAGGATATTGTGTTCCCTTGTCGGCAGCTGAACTTTCTAACTGAGCAAGTGTTCCACTGCAAACTTCACTAGTTAGGCTCCTTGACTTTTGTCTCGGTCATCAACCTCCGAGCCGCTAGGGCTTGTCTAACGAATACGTGGCATATTGAAGTCCCCCATGGGGCTGGGTCACCCAGTCTTGCCACCCTGGTCTCATTTTCCTTAAGGATTTTCTTGAAATTTTCTGCTGGACGAGCAGGCGGCCTATGGCTACGCAGAGGTCGAGTTCTTTTATGTGGAGGTGTAGCACGTATCCAACAAAGCCATCAGAGTTACCATATTCCGACCTCAACTCCACCGTGCTTCTTGCTAAGAAGTTGCAGAGGTGAAAAAATTGCTCGGATTCTTCCTCCCTTCTTTCCGGTCTGCACGGTAGTGTTGGAATCCTTCCATTGCTTTTGCATTTTTGAATCCAGGATATCTTTTCTTACATGCGACTCCGTTAGTGCAATCATAAAGATCCCACCCTCGTCATCCATCTCTCTCAGCATACCAATCTTGTGACGCGCTCTTTCTGGGAAGAGCCTTTCGATGTTGGCCAGCAGAATGCCAGACTCTCCCCTTCTTGGTGCGCTTACCTGCAGCGACACCGCTCAGTCATGTGTCCCTGGGTCAGTAGCTCCTTCATCTGGAGTTGCATTAGTTCCAGTTGCTGCATCTGTTGTTGTATTGGCTTCCTCATCTGTAAAAAAAGCCCTGACGGTAACCTCGTGGCCCCCCTCCCGCGCGTCCGTGTCCCGTACGCATGGGCCACTCACTTTAGTAGCTAGGTCGTCACTCCTTTCCTTCTCCAAAAACTACCGTCTTCATCACTCCTTCTAACAGTGTTTTCCGCCACATTATCGCTGCCCAGTCTTTCATGTGATGGTGGGGCTTGTGAGTGTGCAGTCCTGCACCCTCGTGTAATCCTTTCCTTTTTCGCACCCTCGGGAATGCCCGCTTCCGTAGGTACAGAATTTATAGCACAGTCAGGGACGTGAAAATCTGCAGCCATCGCCCTGTCTCCCGGGGTTCACATTTTTTTGCAGTTACTTCCAGCTAAACCTTTCCTTGCTAATGGCCTGCTTGAGGGCACTTCTGCAACTTGGGTAGATGGTATCGATGGTAGGGTTGGAAGAGTTGGAAGGGACGGTGTCTAACTATCTTCGGAGTCGCACTTCTCGGGGGTTTGTGCGGTGGCCGTAGCTTACGTGATTTGAGCGTTTGAGCCTAGATTAGAGGGGGGAAAGGCAGCAGGATGAGATGGGGTACTGAAAGGGCTGAAGGCAAGGGTAAGGCTGGCGATAGAGGTATCGTTAGAAGTTAAGGAAAGGGTGGGGGAAGGGTAGGGGATGAGACAAGGGTACCGTTAGCCGCAAGAGAAGGGGAGGTGGCACGGGTGGAGGTGAAGCCAGCATTACCGGGTTTGCAACCCACTAGTTTAGGTTTTTCTTTCATGGCTGCGATCAGCTTAGTTTAGCTTTCTACTAAATTTTTTCAAATGCTCATCATGCAATTCTTACATTCATAGGGGACTCTGGTCAGGTCGAGCCGAATAAGGAAATAAATAGGTAATTCTGAACAGGTTAGATGAATGAACAACCGGCATTCGCTACATTGTAGTACAGTACCGTTTTACAAAGTTCCTTGAAAGTATACATGAACTACCCATAGGGGTTTGCATCATATCCTATTTAGTAATCTCACCTTGTTTTTCTTATTATACGATTACACCGGATATTTTACACTATTACACTGGATATCACTGGATTAAACTGAGCTCAGTCACAAACCACAAAACCTAGAGCTCGAACCGCAGGGCTCACATACCACGCTGTGGGCTCGTCAAGAAATCATAAATACTTTCGGATTCGAGCACACTTGCAATTTCACTCGCTTACTACAGCTCAACTCTCATTTGTTTCTATGATTTAATGTAAACACTCGGCATTTAATGAAAACACTTCACTGCTTCACGTATTGAATGATTTAATTTCATTCTACAGATTGTTTTTGTCGCCAAGTACTTTTTATGTAAAAAGGAGTAATTTTATGAACACTTTGAGTCACTCTCACACTGAACTATTTATAATCATTTTTTTACTGACTTCCCTCATTTTACGCCGAAACACTGAATTATATACATCACTTGGGCCCAGGCTATAGAATAAACAACTGGCGAACAAAGAAAAATAATCCTCAACGATTTACTTCAGCGAGAGCCAACCGCGACACGTCCTATCCCGACGGCATCTATAAGGAAAGTCCAAAACCACTCTGCTCCTCACCACTCTGCCCTTCACCACTCTGCCCTTCACCACTCTGCCCCTCACCACTCTTCCTCACCACTCTGCCCCTCACCAATCTGCCCCTCCCCACTCTGCCCCTCACCACTCTCCCCTCACCACTCTCCCCTCACCACTCTGCCCCTCAACACTCGCCCCTGGCCACTCTGCGCCCATCACTACACCCCTCTCTCTCCTCAGTCTGCGGTCGCCGTACGCGCTACGCCAGCACAGGCGCGGTGCTCAACACCCAAGACTTCGATAGACCGCGCAACCGCTGGCCGTGGGTGGCGAGTCTGCTACGTGACGACGCCCACGCCTGCACGGCCACTGTCATCACCCCCGTGTACCTGCTGACGGCCGCCCACTGTGTCACCAGGTGGGTTGACGGCCGCTCATTATGTCACCAGGTGGGTTGACGGCAGCTAACTGTGTCACCAGCCACACTTACAAGTGCCTACGTACGCTTGTACGCTGCAGGAATATGTACAGATGAAAGTACAGTTGTACACATCCGTACGTTAGGATGCAGTGCAGGGTATGCTTGGGTGATGATCTACGGCTCGTAAAAAGGCCTATTTTATAAATATTTATAATATTCATTTGTGTAATCACGCGTTGTTGCTCATTCCATCGAAGTTGAAAGATATTTACTCCCTCACAATATTTAATGAAACTCAATAAATAATAACTCAATGATATAATTATTTCAGGACCCCGGAAACCAGCACTGAAGCCATAGAGACGACGCGTCTCAAGGTTGAGGTTGGAGCCGCTCACTCCAGGCTAAAGGTGCGTAATTCGTACACTCACATGAATGTGGAAGTAACAATGTCCTAATAATAATGATCTTTCGGATTTACGCACTCATGAATGGGCATACTAAATTAGGAGTAACAAAATATATATATATATATTTGCTTTTGTTTTCATACCTAAACCAAACACAGTTTAAAATTAATAATAATTTAACAAAATAATAAAATTAAAAGCAATTTTTGCGAATAAAATGACGGAACAAATTCAGATGAGTTGATTACCTGACCTATGCTGAATACCTCAAGGATTTAATGGATGAGCTAAATTGGAAGAGGCGAGACTCGGTCAGGGCACGGGAAATTAACTACATTTTGCCAGAAATTTGGACAAATGCTGCTTCAGTAAACTGAGTGTCATCTGGCACTGTTTAGTGGCTTGCACACTTGCTGTACAAAAGTTACATTGCTTGATGAAATGAGATGACATTGCTTGATGACATGAGATGACATTGCTTGATGCCATGAGATTGACATTGCTCATTGATGACATGAGATTGACATTGGGCATTGATGACATGTGATGACATTGCTCATTGATGACATGAGATGACATTGCTTGATGACATGAGATGACATTGCTCATTGATGACATGAGATGACATTGCTCATTGATGACATAATTGATGACATTAGATGACATTGCTCATTGATGACATGAGATGACATTGCTCATTGATGACATGAGATGACATTGCTCATTGATGACATGAGATGACATTGCTCATTGATGACATTAGATGACATTGCTCATTGATGACATGAGATAACATTGCTCATTGATGACAAGACATACGCTCGTTTTAACAAAAGATATTTCATCCAATCCTTGATGCCTATTTGGTTATAGTAGTCGGAGTATTTCTTTATTAATTTATTGTTTTTTGTGCCGCTTCCTTGTTCCACTTTCTGGCTTCCTGCAGTGAGGGAACTTATGCAGCGCAATTATATTTTATGATAACTGGCTGATTTGATTCACTAATTGATTTCAATTTGGTCTCGTAGCAATGTATTCATTAAAATCTCACAAAATTTTTAAAAATTTGTTGTGTTGCATAATCTGTGCTAAGACAATATTGTACTCATGTTCAGAGTTTTCGCGTGTTGCAGGCGCAGGTATGTTCCACCTTGTTATAACTTAACGATAGTGCGGGTTTTGAATCCGTCTTGAATATAATATTATTAATCTTAGCTGAAAATAACTCGCCTGCATTCCATGTATTTACCAATATTCTCTGCATTCAATCCATCTTAAATATAATACTATTAATCTTAGGTGAAAGAAATTCGCCTGCATCCCTCGTACCAGACCGGCCGCAGCCCCCGCAACGACATCGCGCTCGTGGAGCTCCAGACGCCTCTGGTGTACAGCGCGGAGCTCTATCCCGCCTGCGTGGCGGACGCCCAGCTCAACGCCCGCGTCGATGCCGTCGTAAGAACGGCTCGGATTAAGCATATTTCGATAGTTGTAATATAATGATACTTAATAGGAAATAGATACTGCAGTGTAACTTCGTTATTCCCAAATAATTTTACAATTTAGAAACGGTTTTTACTAAAATTATTAGATAATAATTGTAATTTTACATTGTCTTTCCCTTTTTCACACTCGGACATGTTTACTGATTCTTGTAGCACCGTAGTGGCAAGATTATCAATTATTCATCTCCACGAGACAAACAAATTTGAAAATCATTTTTCTCCGATGGTTTATATTCAAATAACTTGAATCGTAATTTTGCTGGAGTTGGGCTCAGTTTCTTTTGCAGGCAAACGCTGTTGACATGCGCAATCATTTACAGACGAGCTACTTAACAAGTCAGGACGACATTTCTCGGCGACCCTATAGCCAACGAAAAAATCAATGTGATTACTCATTGTTATTCCTCGTGCCTCATTGCATATATCTATTTACTACGCTAATAAATTTACACAGCAATTTTAGTCCATTTTAAAGTCATTTGCGATATTACCATTAGCTACCACTAACGTAAAGCATTACTAATGTGAATACTGATGACTAATTTCGTCGTAGCCAGGGACATTATTCCTGAACAACACCTAACAATGCTCTCGGTCTCTGACCAAGTGTCTCAGTTGGTGTTGAAAGTAATCGTTTAAATATATATGATTCCTTCCAATTGCTTGTACCGCGTTGGCTTGAGCGGGTGTTCGACTTACCGTGCATGTGTATGCTTGTTATGCCTCATTGGTTTCTGCTTTTGTTCACCTATCATTTCTTGATTACCAGTCTTTGTGAAATTGAGTGCAGTTTCTTTCTTGCTGACTTGAGTATTAAATTGTTTAAGTAATCATTTAAAGATAAGATATTCAAGTATTGTTTGGAGTGCAAAATCTGTAGCAACATCAGTCACTCTGCTCAAGCGATCATCTTCCGGTAGTTCTCTGTTCGTGTAGTTCCCTGCGTCAGAAGAAAGGGAGATACATCCGTAACCTTGTTTTGTGCTAGCTCTTATAATTGTTACGCGACTGTCCTCCGCCTGACGCTACCCTCCACTTGACGCTGCCCTTCGCCTGACGCTGCCTCCACCTGACGCTGCCCACCGCCTGACGCTGCCCTCCGCCTGACGCTGCCCTCCGCCTGACGCTGCCTTCCGCCTGACGCTGCCCTCCATCTGATGCTGCCCTCCACCTGACGCTGCCCACCGCCTGACGCTGCCCTCCGCCTGACGCTGCCCTCCGCCTGACGCTGCCCTCCGCCTGACGCTGCCCTCAGACGCCGCCCACCGCCTGACGCTACCCTCCGCCTGACACTGCCCACCGCCTGACGCTCCCTTCCGCCTGACGCAGCTCACCGCCTTATTGCTGCCTTCCGCCTGACGCTGCCCACCGCATGACGCTACCCTCCGCCTGACGCTACCCTCCGCCTGACGCTACCCTCCGCCTGACGCTACCCTCCGCCTGACGCTGCCCTCCGCCTGACACTGCCCACCGCCCTGACGCTCCCTTCCGCCAGACGCTGCTCACCGCCTTATGCTGCCTTCCGCCTGACGCTGCCTTCCGCCTGACGCTGCCCACCGCATGACGCTGCCCTCCGCCTGACGCTTCCTTCCGCCTGACGCTGCTCACCGCCTTATGCTGCCTTCCGCCTGACACTGCCCTCCGCCTGACGCTACCCTCCGCCTGACGCTGCCCTCCGCCTGACACTGCTCACCGCCTGACGCTCCCTTCCGCCTGACGCTGCTCACCGCATGATGCTGCCCACCGCCTGACGACGCCCAATGCCTAACGCGGATTTGGCGCGGATTTGGGCCGACAGAGGACTTGGGATGGGCCCGTGGCCGTGGCTTCCGCAGCTCGGCACGCTCGCGTCACAGCTCAGTGACTCTCGGAGTCGGTGTAGGCCACCATCAGAGGCGTTAAGGTCGGGGCCCTGATCATTGACATGAAACCATTCCCTGTTTTTAATTAATAAAATTAATTCCTTTTTGTTGGAATGGTGAGTGTGGGAGGCCTTATTAAAAAAAAATGCCTAACTCTGCCCACCGCCTGACTCTGCCTTCCGCCTGACTCTGCCTTCCGCCTGACGCTGCCCTCCGTCTGACGCACGCTGCCCACCTCACCCTATCGAAATTTTTATTCCTGTAAGCCGCTGGCACAAGGACGCCCAACGCTCACCTAGCGTGTAAAATAGCGGTTCTATGTCTGCTTTAGGTTCCGGTTGCCGGATCGAAATAAGCGCCGAAACGGAATCTTGTGAAATACCTGTCGAGCTTGGGGCGATCGTGAATATACGATAGTTATGGAAATCCTCAAATCAAATGTTTGCTCACAGAGGGGCTCTTTGTAAGCGATAGTTCATCAGCTTTCTTCTGCTTGAGCAATAAGCTCAAGCATGCTGACATATGCCATTGGCTGAACAGTTCTTTTGTTGAAGAAACCATTCGTCTAGCAAAAAATTTTACCGGGGTCTGAAAATGCTGCTTGCAACTGCTGCAAAATGAAGAATAAAAGCATTTCTAACTTCTAATACCATTCCAATATTGCTGAGCTCGATAAAAATTTCCTGAATCTATCCTCGTATAATTTGTAGTTATTCAGAAATAACCAAATTCATCTTTATACTTAAATGTAACTCCAGATTGAAACCTGGTGATACAACGAAATTGCGTAGATAGAACAGAACAAAAGCAACTACTTACTTGCGAATAATCGTAATACGCTTTGCAAATCTGTTCTATCGTCTATCAGCTGGCCCGCCCAGTAGTGTGAGACTAGCCACATCCTGACCACGCACAGACTGTAGGTTAAGTAGCATCGTAGGCAATGCTGAACTTTCAATTACACAATTGATCCAGTTGACGTGATGATTTTGAAACTCGAACCTTAAGCATATGAACAGGAGCAGCTTAAATCTTGTCGGCATGCCCAAAGTTGAAAATTTCTACCATTGCAAAAATCTTGGTAGTCATGATAAATGTCGCCTGCCGACGAAAAGTACCTATTACAACGAACTTCACTTTAGAAAGCACTGAACAGCAAAAAGTAACAAATTTGTATATCTAAAAGTGTCAAAAACAGTAATATTCAGTTTATAACACTGAGTTGTTTGCATGACGTAGACTCCACTATACACGATAAGATTACACAATTCGAATGAGATGCGTGTATCAACCGACGTCCGAATGGGACGAACACCAGTAAACCCCTGCTCAATTTAGGCTCAGCGCGGTGCCTCCGCGTCCGAAATCCGAACTACCTCTCAATGCTTGTCTCAAGCCGGGTAGTTGTAAACCAACCTCCCACTCCTTATCAGGGAGTATAAAGGGGATTGTTTTGGTACACCTGCCTCTAAAACTTTGGTTCTTTGGTGAACACACGCAATACACGCATCTTGACGTACAAGTAATAAACGCTTGTTCATGTACACATATCGCAAGGGAGTTCGCACAAGCTTAAGGCAAGCTTTTCAATGAAATGTAACGCAAGCGTCTTGACACGAACGCGGTGCATGCGGGTCGAAGACAACGCAACGCACGCGTGTTAGTTAATCACGCGTAAAGGTCTCGTGCCAATGGACAATCATTGCACGCGTAATGAAGCTCGCGTAAACGCTGGCGCGACCGTGAAATTTCATTTCAAAATATGGTCCCAAAAGTTTCGAAGCGATTTGCGTGAGAAAAAAAAACATTCAAATCAAGAAAACGTAACGCCCACACGTTGACGTACACGCAATGCTTGAGTGGTGAAACGCACGCGTGGAAACTCCTGCGCCTACTCTTGCATCGTATATGGGTTTTTGAATAAGAGGCTTGTCACGCTCGCGCTAAGAACTCATGCCAGCTACTGAGCAAAGCAAGCCAATGGTGGCTTGACCAGCCACTGATTTCGTGTGTCATTTGACCCTTATATTTTTTACCATGGAACTACCCAAAATAGCACCTGTTGGGCGGCTGATTAGGGGAGGCGGCCTTCCACATCTGATTCATCTCTATTCCGAGAGTGGCAACCGAAACCCGACCGACAGCTGCTTCTAAATTTTTATAGGGTATAGCTTCTAAGATGTTCGCTGGAGAACCTAGCTACTAACATGCACCTCGCTATACCGTACTTATATGCACCTCGCTAAATCGCACTTACATGCAATTTGCTATATCGTATCTACATGTACCTTACTATATCGTACTTACATGCACATCGCTATATCGTACTCACATGCACCTCGCTATATCTTAATCATACAATTTTTCCAAGGCTTTTCAGCTATCTCGAACAGCCTTCCAGACGGCATCGTATGAACGCGTTTAAGAACAGACTAGACAAAGCTATGCAGGAGCATATGTTCAGTCATGAAATGGCTAGCACCTTACGGACCTTGCAACAAGTCCAGCAGCTATCTCAAACAATCGTCAGTTATGAAAAGATCTAGTTCAAAAGGCCGGATCCTTTGTAAATTAGGTCTCGAAAAGTACAGGGATCGACATCAGGCCACGGGCCTATTTCTTCAGTGCCGACGCATCCATTCTATTCAATTCTATCAACAATTTTATCGACATGCCACTGGGAATCTTGAAATGACACAAATTACGCATGTTTTACCCTCTTTAATATCTTTTTCCTTGAGAAATTAATTGCTCGTGACGCGACACATAATTTTTGTAGCGAGCTTTACTGAAAATTTCTCGACAGGCATTCAATCGCAGCTTCGGAAAGCCTACTTTCGAGTTCGAGGTCGTGGGGATGAAAGTGTCGCCCGAGTGTCGGGCGCAGGTCAACGAGTGTCCTACACTGCAGCTCTCCGAGTCGCAGTTCTGCGCCGAGGGCAGAGGTCAATCATGGATTAGTATTTAATTATGAATATTTCACTCTGGGAGCTGAAAAATATTAGTAGCATAACTAATTACGAAGTTGTCTTCATTTCAAGTGACAAGAATTACGGCTGGACAGAGTTATTAGCTGAGAACTGGACAAGAGTGTTTAGAGGTGAAACGGGATGAGAAGAAGTCCAGGACCGGGGTGTATTCTTGGGCGGGGGTCAAGTCTTGGGTAGAGGGTGAAGTCTGGGGCGGAAGGTGAGGTCAAGGTAGGGGTGAAGCTTCGCTCGGAAGTGAAGTCCACGGCAGGGCTGAAGTCCAGAGCGGGGGTGAAGTACAGGACGAGGTCGTGGTCCACAAAAGTTGACTTGCTATCCAGAGGCAGATACGTTCGGTTCCTCAATAGACCGGAAATAGGTATGGGATTAATGATAATTATCAGCTTAATAATTATATTTAAAATTTACTTAATGTTTTAATTTCATTACCTGTTTCTGCAGGCGGTGGCTCAGTTCTGCTTGTGGGAGGCTCGTCAGGAGGACCGTTCTTGCAGAACCTCGTCAACGAAAGCGTCACAGAAGCGTGGACGGTGTCGGGCGTGACGTCCTCGTCGTCCCGGACCGTGGACTGCTCCGTCCCTGTCTTCACAAACGTCCATTTGTTCTCTGACTGGCTCAAGGATTCAGTCCTCGAGTTTATGTCCAAGCTCACACTTCCGTGAACGAAGATTTGTTCGAAGAGGGCTGGAGTTAATTAAGAGGAATTTATTCTCCTATTAATTTGAAATATTAGTACTTATGCTACATTTTTTTCGTAGATATTGTTCCCTCTTACTACTAAGTACTACCTCTAGTAGTTTTAATTCTGATAGTATTAACGCTCCTGTACTTCTTATATAGGATGATATTCAATCAGCGCTAGAGCGTGTAAGGGTGATGTTGGAATGTGTGATAAGATACGTAAATGATTGATGATTGGCCCAGGGATGATGACGGGACCAAATACGGGGCATTTATCAGCAATAAATTTAAGGTTATATCTTTTCCTGATATGATAAGAAAATAATTTTAAGGTGATATGTTATAGTTGCTGATTAACTGTTGTCTCGCAATAAATTTACCACTGACGATCATCTCTACTATAAGTAATATGATCTGCTTTTCAACGGTTTTGAAATCGATCATGTTGCGCGAAATTTAATTTATAAGCCAAAGTTTGTCATCACGGATTATAGATTACCGAGTGACGCACCAGCACGCGGTATAGTAACCTAATAAGCACCAGGACTAAATATCAATTTCAAATATTATAGCCACCTCTTGTTTAGCTACGATGTGAAATATCTCTTTCATTTGCTCCTTAAATATTATAGAAGCTTTTAATGAAATCTGTGGCAACAGGTCTTGCCAAGGTCATTCGGTCTTGTCAAGACCCATAGGTCTGGCCAAGATCCAGGTTATTTACCGCACAACATCTAAAATTATTTCTGGTAAAATAACAATCCTAGTTCGGGGCACTTCTACAAGTGCGAAAAAATTTTCGGAAATCATATATTAGTTATATTTTTAGAGGGATATTGAGGCTAACATTTCTTCTTACTTTATAGTTACTATCAGTCTAATATTCGACGTCAGAATCGAGTAGAAATCCTGAGCTAGAAAATTATTTTGATTAGCCAAAACGTTTATGCGATTTATATCAAAGTAAATAAAGCATGTGCTTTTGTTTATTGTTTAATTGTTTAGTGCTTTTAGTTGTTTAGTGCTTTAGTTGTTTTTAGTTTAGTTTAGTTTAATTTAGTCCTTCATCAAATAAAATTGCTCCTTTCAGAATGTTAATTTTGCTCAACCTTCTTCACAATCGATTGCGTTACCATACACGAATTTTCGTACTGGTAGAAGACCATCGTACTCTTGAGATTTATAATATGTTTATGATCAAATCTATATATGCCATATTTTGCGCGAAGCTCTCGTGCTTGCGTTACTATATTATGATGCGAGATGAGAGCAAATCTTTGCCCAGAACCAAACGTACAATGTTATAAAGACTTTATACAAATTCAAAAAGCTTGTATAGGATGGGACACCCAAGTGACCAGTTTCGTTTCGTACAGTTTGTTTTTATATAAAAGTCCGAGAGAGTTTAGCTCCCAATTGCTGATTTCCATCGAAAATTTTAATGACTCTTGTATCATGTTGACTTTTTCTAATAAACTTTTGAGATCCTCACATGCTTCACTCAAGATGAAAATGTCATCTCAGTATCTCCGAATGATCTCAAAAGTATCTTAGAAAAAGTTTACGGACACCAAAACTTATTTCAAAGCAACAGAAACGTTCCAGTATATTGAGGCCTTGAGTGCTCAACGCTCATCCCTCATTTTGCCTGAAAGTTTTGTGAAGGGCGAAATACTAAGGCACAAATGATAAAGTGTGAAAAAATCACAAGGGCCTGATGAATAATGAAATGGCGTCATCGCCCTTGAAGATCTGAATACAGTAAAAAACAACAATAACAAGAAAATGAGTTATGATGTTACTCAAGAAACAAAACAAAACTATCATGCAGAAACAGACAATGTTTGTGCTTTATGGTATCTGCAATTGAAATGCATCTGAATAACAAACAAAAAAAAGGAAAAATATAAAACACATGTGCGTAATATCCAACCTTATACTTGACGAGGAATTTTCTAAAAACAACAAGTGGGGGCGAAAGGCAGCTTTAAGTTGGTCTCATGGGTGTTCCATCCTTTGCAAACTTCCGCCCTGTTGGAATCGTCCCTCGTTTAAGATGTAATACTTGAATGAATAACAAATGCCGCTCATTTTTGTTTGTATATTTTTAGCTGGGGCCAGTCTCGCACAAATAAGAATCTTAACACATTATTCCGACGGTTTAGTACATTCTCTACTGACCAGAGTTGCAGTTGAAATTTAGCTTTTCGTCTTTGCTAATATTTGACATTAAATCATTAATGATTTAAGAATTTATAAAATGATTTATTTATCTAATATGCCAGTTTTTCATTACCTTGCCCTCTCAATTTGTCAGATAGACGCTCAATGTTATAGAAGTGCTTGTATGCAGCATTGCCCCTCATTCTCTGCTTCACGTGAACGAGACTTAGTATCAGTTCGCTGAACGGATGAGAATCCGGTTTCCTGCGGGTAATAATAGTCAAGACTTTCCTTCTTGAGCAGGCATGGCAAGTGTCAATAATTTCTGGGTTCAGTTGGTTGTGTGATTTCGTTGAGCGTGTACGTAAGCAATCCTACTGCAGCAATCTTTTAGCACAATCTTCCCTAGCAAACCTAAACTAGCTATTGTTGTTATTAATTACCTTATGTAGCAATGACGAGGGCGCATTCTATTACCGCGGTTTTTCTACAAGCCTGCGTGATAGCAGTCCTAGTGGATGGTGAGTTATCCCATATTTCAGAGCTAACAACTCAATGTGACCATATTAATTATTGAGTTGTTTATTGTGTGACCATATTAATGTGACTATCCCAAAGAATGTTTATGCTTTTCACGGAATTATTTGATGTGAGCGTTCTATTTATTGATGAAAGAATTTTGTCTCGGTCTTCAATGAATATGTACCTATCGAGGTTGATAAATTTCTACTGATGAACGTGGAATTTCAACTGAACAGGTGATCCAAAATTTGAACATTTCATTGATAACGCTGACCTGCTAAACTTGAGTTAGTTAAATTTATCTAATGAAATTATCACACTGTGTCTGTCACATCATCTGTCATTTTTTCTGTCTTCAACGAATAAATAATCCTCAGATTAATCCGCAAAAATCTGATGCGACTCGCTTAGCTTGCATTAATAAATCTACAAGAACTTACTTCAAGGCAGCTACATACTACTTACCTGGCTAACTCTAGATAGTAGCATTCAAGGTACCCTTGCAGCTCGTACTGGCTAATAATTTCAAAGTATTCAGCGACGAACCCATAAATACCTTTCAGATGTTTACAGAGTCGAGCACATAATAACAAGATATAACGGATACCTCCACTCAAGCTCCGTATTCTGTCGTGACCGGAAAGCTAAGCGCCGTGTACATCAATCCGCGATGGTGCATGTATTTCAGCCTGCCGCTGTGCCAATTATATGGCTGTCTACACGTTGAGTACGGCACGACCTACCAGCGCTGTCAGATGGCCTGAAAAACGCCAAGTCCGCGGATAAAAATGCCTCTAATTCAAAATATACTAGTCAATTGTTAAGTTTCGGGGCAAAAATTAAAATTTCTCTTTTCCGTACATTATAAACTGTAATGAGGGAATACTGCCATCATAAATTTTTGTCGACAAACGCAATTGAAAAAAACTAAATCGCGGAATTTGTTAGGAAAAATACCCTGCAACCTAACGGTGGGTCCTACCACATTCAATATGTTAAAAGAACTCAATACAGAATAACCATTAAGTTCCATTCTTCTCTGGGACGTGTTTGAAGGAATTTTTCTTCAGTTGTTGTGCTCAGTCTTCTTTTTGATGCTCATGATAAATTATCGTTCACCAATAAAAAATATTCCTCAAGCTTTAAGAATTGAAACTCAGACACAAAAATATAAAATAATTCTCGATTGGCGGACGTCAATATTAAGTAAACTGAGAACAAAAATCTTCTATAAGATCGAAAAGACTTAATTACTGCACTCTATTTCGCTAGCTGCGGGTATACAAGGGAAATTTCCCTATACTGTTGGAACACTGAAATTTCCGTCCGCTCTCGATAGTTGCAAGGTATTACCACTGTGGCATATCTATAGCTGTATTTATATATCTATATATATGCAAGTTTATTTGAAGACCAGAGCATGCTTTTTATTGATAAACTTCTTATTCGTTTTTTTTTTTCAATGACTGGAACAAAATTTCTAGCTGGCGCCGGGAGATCAAAAAGTAGGTAACCAAATGATATTTTAATGGAATGCGACGTTTCGAAAATACAATTTTCATTATCAAGCAGGTGAAGGTTTTGCAACACTTGAAATTGAACATTGGAAATGACAGAGTACAAATCAGTGGCATAGTGGAAAAAATTTAAAATATAAGCCCAAAATTACTCTGTAACTTCAGCGTCCGGATGAATCCTTTAGTTTGGAGGTCGATAGCTGGAGACTCGTTCTTGATAATGACCCTAACAAAACTCAAGGTATGATAGAGACTAACACGTACAGCCTCACTATAGATGGGGTAAGGTTATTCTAGTTCTTCTCGGCCACTCGACCGCAATCAGCGACTAGTCAGAGTCGCTTTGCCGACTTCATAGTCTCCTCCTGAGAGTATGGCAAGAGTGGGCTTGGCCGAACCTATCCTGCCTATAAACTGCCCAGAAGCTACCCTTCAAGCCCACTGCGGAAGGTAGTGGGCAGAAGCCTTCCGGAGTTGCATGGGCGAGTTAATGGTTGAACTATTGCAAGGTTGACCCACGACGATGACGATTTTTTCGCCGTTCTGCGCATGTCTCGAGTGACGTCACCGTGGGCCCAAAACGTAACAGTAGAGATCAACACTTTGTTTTTGTGTCATCTTTTGAAGTATTTAAGAAAAAGTTGATGTCAAAATGGCCCAAAAAACTTTATTTGCTGCAACTAGTGTTATTTTAAGCAAAGCCGATGTTACAAATCCGTTTTGTCGATTGGAAAATTAAATAAATGTGAAACATAATGGGCCGACAGACAAGGACAGAAAGGAGTAATGGCTGCCAATCAGCCAACGGTCGATGAAAGGCAGCGCAATTCTAACGAATTTATATTTTTGTAAGCTGACCAAGAATATCCTTGCATCTTTGCTATAAATTTGTTTAATGCTGTAATTTGGTTCATGGCTTACTTGTCATTTGTAAAGAACTGGACGCTATAATTAAACCATTTATCCCTAAGAAATGCTCTCTGAAATCTAGAAATGACTTCTTGGAAATTTCTCGTGCCTCGCACCCTTCTGGTCTACTAGCTTCACTGGATGCCGCTAGTTTGTTCACTAATGTTAACCGACGAAACATTAGATATTTTCACGAAGCATGTATATTCACACGAGACCCTGCCAGCCCCACCTATTGCAAAAAAAAAAGATCCTAATTGACCTTCTTCGCCTGTGTACTTCAGAATCTCCCTTCCTGAATCCTGATAACAAATCGGACCGACATATTACCTGCGTCGCCATGGGATGCCTTCTAGATCCAACTTTTGCAGAATTTTACATGTGTGAACTGGAAAATCGAGTGTTGATCAATGAACAGATCAAGCCTGAGGTTTACTGCAAAGACGTAGATCCTTTATTCTTTCTTTATTCACACAGGAGCATACAAAAAAATTCATAACAAGAAAATGGCAAAAATTTGGAGAAAAAAAATACAAAATGCTTCGATGCGAATGCCCATATAAGCTAAAAAGCTTCACAGGCGACATTAGCGATATTACAATCGAAAAACAATAACATATAATGACGATGGGATAAAAAGAGAGGCGAATGCAGAATTAAAAAGACGTTCATCGTGGAAGAGTGCCCTATTCATGAATTTTAAAAGCTGAAATTTGTACATGTCATCAAGTTTTAAAATTTTCGACTGCCTATATAATACAGTAGTACGAGTCAAAGGGATATTGTTTTCATCATACCTAACCCGAAAAATAGTTACCTAACCACATTGAGAGAGGGCAGAAGAATATTTTATGAACCCGGAAAGGAATTACACCGCATTAAATGTGCGACATATCTTAAAATGTCGG